CTGCTTTCTTGTTCTTCTAATTGTTGTACTTCACTATTGTATTACTTCTAGAAATTTATTATAAGGTTTCTGAATTCCTATATCACCAGTACAAATAAATTATGATAACGTAAGCATCTTGCCAGTGTAGGATAATTTAATGTGCAATTCCCCAAGCACAAAAATACCAATGCTGAGTCTCTACAATTTAACATTGACCTTTTATCCAGACTTTCCCATAAGACATTGTACAAATGGGATTTGTTTGATAGAAGGCAAGACAATATTGAAGAGTCCATCTCCAACAGAGAGGTTTAATGAAGTTGACAACCTTGTTTAGAAATGTAATCAATGGTCTTAGCTTATTGGCACTCTGCTGTCATCAATTCAATTAAGTGATAAAAAGTCATGATTTAGCCTCTCTCAACAACTTCCACTCTGCTGATATTTTCATTTCAATAAGAAGTGCAAAGTCCATCAAAGGCAGTATTTTTATGAGTTTGGATTTTCCTAAATATTTCCCTTCTAGGTGTGCTGTATGGGGGATATTTTGATAATTTATTAATAATCTAATAAACATAAGAGACTTTGCAAATGATGGAGGCACGGATTAACATTTAGAATTTCCTCCTCAGTTTCAGTAAAGTTTGGCACGATTTGGGACCTGGAGAAAAAGAATCAGTCAGTCACTACAAACCTGGTAAGGCCGGAAGTATTACTGATGAAAGCAATGCAAAGGGTTGGATTTCTTTTGCTATCACTATGATATATGATATGATGTGATATGATATGATATATGATATGACATCATATGATATATTTTCTCAGCTAAGATTCTAAGATTCTATTACCTTTGTGTAATGGATCTAATTCATCATAGGAACTACAGTGAAATGTTAAATCAGGAGCAAAAAGGGAAGTGAGTTACTCAGGAAATAAGAGATTGGAAGAGGGAAAAAAAATCTAGTGTAGAAGAAAATTAGACTTAAACCAAGAGTAGCTCAGGATTCTTCCATGCTAGTAAGCCAGGAGTAGAATCACAGAGCAGTGGATTATGTAGAGAAGGACCAGGACATGAAGAAATAGGAAGAGATTGCAAGGCATTACTTTATATATATCCACAATCTTCACTTTAATAGAGTCATCAGCCATGAGTTGATGGCTCACACCTGTAATCCTAGTTACTAAGAAAGCTGAGGTCTGAAAATCAGTTTGAAGCCAGTCTGGATAGAAAAGTCCCTGAGACATTTATCTCCAGTTAACTAGCAAAAAGCTAGAAGTGGAGGACTTAAACCAAAATGCTAAGAGAGAGCACTCAGGCCCTGAGTTCAAGCCCTATTATCTGCACCAAAAAGGAGGGGAAAGTCATCAAAGATAACACCAAAGACTCTAATCTAAAGGCTAGAAAAATAGTGATATCCTAAAAAAAAAAAAACATATTATGGCACAAATGACATTTCTTCCAGTTGTGGATATCTGCATGTTCACAAACGTTCCTACACAAAGCTTTTCAATAGAATCTTGGTCTATAGTACATTATATAAACTCTTGTAATCTCCATAATTTAAGAGTAGACATTATAATCAAACTAAAAAGAGATCTGCTACATTGAAAAATAGAGATAAAGAGCTCGCTCTGCTCTTTTCTAGCTCTTTCCTTCTCTTTCTCTTTTCTAGCTCTCTCTCTGCTCTCTCTCTGTTCTTGTCTAACTCTTTTCTAGCTCTTTTCTCTCTCTTTCCTCTCTGTTCCCCAGCTCTCTCTGCTCTTTTCTAGCTCTTCTCTTTTCTAGCTATTTTCTCTCTTTTCTAGCTCTCTCTTAGCTCTTTTCCCCAGCTCTCTCTCTTTCTCTCTTTCCCAGCTCTCTCTGCTCTTTTCTAGCTCTTTTCTCTCTCTTTCCTCTTTCCCAGCTCTTGCTCTTTCCCAGGCCTTTCCCAGCCACGTGGAGTGCCAACCTTGCCTGGTCCCAGCAGGTCTACTGAATAAACCTACCCCTTACCTAAATACCACAAGCATGGTGCTGTTCTTACTCGGCTACCTCTTTTTAAAAACCTAACATAAATGGTGCCGTGACTCAGATAAAGGGCTTAAAGTCAGGATAGGTGGGATTCTTCTGGTTTTTTTTTTACCTCTTTTTTCTTTTCTGTTTGTTTTTCCCTTTTTGCTCTGAGGAATACCCACAATTCTGACGGCCTTTTGCGCACCAGTCTGTCTGCTGCAGACACAGCGCATCGATACCATTGCTGGCCTTCACATCCACGTCCACACCACTTCTCTACTCTGGTGAGTGAAACTACTCTCTACGGCTCTCTGTTGCTCAGTCTCTGTCCAGACGTGGCACCACGCCAGAGAGCTCTTACGGCCTTTAACTGAAAGGCAGGTCACCTCTGAAGCTGAAGCGGAGGATGCTTGGTTTTGGGGGCTTGGCCATTTCTCTCTAGAGGGCTCTGGGGAAAGTCGGGACGCCACTTCTGCTTTGTCAGCTCTCCTTCACTCACCAGACTGACTCTACTCATTTAATGGGGTGCTACGAATCACGCCTGAGCCGTGAAACTCCTTTGAAATGCCTCCTGCGCTCCCTGGAAAGCCAGAGCGCCTCATTTTTATGCCATTCTCAGATGTAGACAGTTTTTGCTACTGCAATGGTAAATGGTCAGAAGTCTGTTTAATTTCAGGCTCTCTTTGCTCTCTCTGCCATTAATTTCCAACTTTCCCTATCTCTCCCTTTCTCTTTTCTACAACTTTTTGGCTTGTGCCTTGAAGAGTGTGACACAGGCTGGGTCTCAGGGACCCCCCTCTAGGTTCCCTCTCAAAGGCTAGCCAATGTAGGCTTGGTCTATTTGTTCAGGCTTTCTTTGCATTCTTTCAGAAGTTCGCCATCTTGAATTCACCATCTTGGCCACATGGTGGGTTAAGGGTTTGGCCCCATCTGGCCCTTAACCTTCCACCAAGCCTTCTACTCTATCCAGCTATTCTAAGGTGCCTTGCTAACAAGTTGTTCTTTTCACAGGCCCTGGTAACTGAGGCCCAACCATGTGATGTGCTTTGTTAGCAAAGATGTCTAAACATTGTTGTCAAAAGTTTAGGTTTTGAGTTTTGCCTTTTTTGTTTTGTGTTGTCTATTCTACTGACTACATGGTTCTAAGATACTGGGCATATCTGTGCTAAAATTCTCATCACATCTAATGAGTTTTGTCATTTCATAATATTTGTCGGTCAATTCTTGATAAGAACCAGGTAACCTCTACTTATTCTACTTGATCTCCTTGTTGCTTTAATTGGAAATAATAAAGGGTTTTTGTGGCAAAGATGCAGTTCAAAGCCAACCCGGGGGGCTGGGAAGGTGGCTCAGTGGTAGAGCGCTTGCCTTGCATGCTCAAGGCCCTGGGTTCGATTCCTCAGCACCACATAAGCAAAAAGAAAAAAGCCAGAAGTGGCGCTGTGGCTCCAGTGGTAGAGCACTAGCCTTGAGCTGAAGAGCTGAGGGACAGTGCCCAGGCCCAGAGTTCAGGCCCCACGACCGGACAAAAGCCAACCCGGGCTGAAAAATCCCTAAGACTCCATCTCCCAACTAACCTGCAAAGAGCCAGGCTGAAAGCACGGCTTAAGACTCTTATCTCTAACCAGCTAAACACTAGAAGTGCTATTGTAACTCAATGTGGTAGAGCACTAGCCTTGAGCAGAAGTGCTCAGGGACAGTGCCCAGGCCTTGAGTTCAATCCTCCTTGAATACCAACTGGGACAAGCCATCTCAGTAACAAACACCTAGACTCAGCCAGTCTGGGGGAACAAGGGACCATGGAGAGGAGTAAGATTTTCACATCAGCAATTTTGTGCCTGCCCTTTCAAAATTAACCAGAGCTGGGAGGTCAGTGGAAGTAAGAACCCTGCCCATCTAATGTCTATACCTGTCTACCTATTAACTGAACAGGAATTTATATTCTTGCCTTTGTCACCTGACTTCTCTACCTAGTAGCCAGATGTCAGAAGTAGCTAGGGACATTTCTACCAACATTTTCAGCCCCAAGTCCTTCCTCTTGCCATTTATTTGCTCTCTAGTATTTTTTTCCAGCCCCTCTATGCTCATGAGACTTCTCCAGACTTCATCTAAAGACTCATGCCACCAAGGAACAGCTGCTGCAAACTGCCTTCTCTGGGAGGAACCAAATTCCAGCCTTTTACCCCTATTGTCGATGCCCCTTGTCAGCAGGAAGTAGCCAGAGAGAATCCCCACCCTATTTCATGATTATTAAAAGGCTGGAATGTAAGGTCCACTCCTAGATGGCTAGCAGACTCCACCCAGCAAAGTCTCCACCCATTACCTGCATTACCTAGGCAACTGGGACACCTGGAAGAGGTCACATGTGCATCCCCTGAGGTCACATCTGAATTTGATGGGGCCACACCTTTCTCCGTCCATACCCTAGATAAGGCCTAGCCCAGGCCCAGACGCCCTTGCTCTGCTCTTTTCTAGCTCTTTCCTTATCTTCTCTTTCCCAGCTCCCTTCTCTTTTCTAACTCTCTCTCTGCTCTCTCTCTGCTCTTGTCTAACTCTTTTCTAGCTCTTTTCTCTTTCCTCTCTCTTTCCTCTCTCTTTCCCAGCTCTCTCTGCTCTTTTCTAGCTCTTTTCTAGCTCTTCTCTTTTCTAGCTATTTTCTCTTTTCTAGCTCTCTTAGCTCTTTTCCCCAGCTCTCTCTCTCTTTCTCTCTCTCTTTCCCAGCTCTCTCTGCTCTTTTCTAGCTCTTCTCTCTCTCTTTCCTCTCTTTCCCAGCTCTCTCTCTTTCCCAGCCGGGTGGAGTGCCAACCTTGCCTGGTCCCAGCAGGTCTACTGAATAAACCTACCCCTTACCTGAAAAAAAAAAAGAAAAACAAAAATAGAGATAAAGAAAGACAATCTATGGGTTATTTCATGGCTACTAAAGCTCAAATGAAGCTCAGTGGACACAAGTAGAAAAACAGAGGTCTCAGACTCCAAAGTTTAATGCTTAATTTCGGTTCAATACACAATACTGACGAGGTAGTACCTGAAACATCAGTGGGGTAGTGGCAGAAGAAAAGTTGAGACTTTTGATCATGTGGCTTTCAGGATCATATTTTGACATAAATCCTTTAATTATGACTGTTTTGGCTGTTCCTTGTTCCCCAATCAACAGTACAGCCTAAAATAAAACAATTGAGAACAAAATGAAACAAAACGAATGTTGTGGGTTACATAGTATGGCACACTCAGCACTTCATATGTAGAAGATTGAAAACCAGGAATCCCCAAAAGTGACTACATTTGAAGAGAGGTCTCCTGAACAGCAGACTGGTAAAATGCGGACCCCAGCATACCTGGGGTCCTTACAGAAAGAGGAAACACCAGAGATGCATACAAACAGAAGAAAACCACAGGAAGACACAGAGAGGTTTCATTTACAAGCCACAAAACAGGGCCACTGAAGAAGCCAACCCTGAAAACATCTTCATGCTGGACTTTCAGCCCCCAGAACTGTGAGAAAAAGAATTCTTCAGCTAGTGAGGCTTTGGTTTAGGTACCCATACTGGTCTTGGTAATCCTAGCAAAGTAGATCATTTTTTTTTAATTTTAAGGAGTAAGTCAAATGATAACCTCTTTCAACTATTACATGAGTAATCATTATGAATCAGACTTATTGAACATTGATATTGTCCCTGGAAATGACAAAAGGAATATACTCATCAAGTCACTTTTTTTTCATATATTCCAACCAGTAATAGAAATCATTCTAAAGTAAATGAAGAATGAAGAATGTTGTCTATTTTCAAGCAGTTTTTCCAAATATTCTTTCTTTAAATAAGAGGAAAAGGCCATACCTTGCCTTGCTTAGCAATGGTGTTGATTAGAAAGTCAGTCCTCACATTGTCCACATTGGGCACCAGGATGGAGCTATATTCAGGAGAGGCCTGGGCAGGGTACACGTATTCCGGGGTGCATGCACTCCAGTGCAGCCAGTTCCCTGGAGAGCAAAGATCATGCACTGTTTCTGCTCAGTAGTTCACAACTCCTTGTAATGGGCTGATGACTTTCACAGCTCATGAGAATACTCCCCATATGATAAAAATCATCAAAACTGGAGACATTAATGGCATGTCGATGGATTTACACGTGAGTTAGCTTGGTCAATGTTTCTCAAGGTATTATTCCAAAGTGACAGTTACTCAGAAATATTTAGAAGTAGATAGAGAGAGACAGAGACAGAGACAGAGAGATAGATATACTGTGCATAAAAATAACAGAACTGAGTGGGAGTATCATGTGCCTAAAACTCAGTAGACATTTTTATTGTCAGATCTCATAAGCTTTTTATTAAGTGAAAGCTTCTAAGGTAAGACATATTGTAGAGACAGAGATAGAGACACAGGCATAGAGATACGATAGAGATGGTGGGAGACAGAGATGCATATATATGCATGCACATAAATACTACGTAACTGTACGTATGCAGTACATCATATATACATATATTGTTTTATGTTTGGGTATGCACACAGAAGTACTCTTAAAAGCATATAAAGAGATATAGAAAAAAATTAAAAAGAGGTAAAGAAATAAGATAGATAGATAGATAGATAGATAGATAGATAGATAGATAGATAGATAGATAGATACACAGACACCATATTTGGTAAGAAATATACTTTGGACTGTAATCTTCACATACACTGCCACTTGCATTGAATTGGATAGCTGAAATGGATCTAGTTAGATTTTTTTCCCACTTACTTTACCTCACCAACCAAATGTTTAGCATACAACATGTGTGTGTGTGTGTGTGTGTGTGTGTGTACATATATATTCAGCAAAGGAGGAGAGCATGCATTGGAAGGCCAAGTACATCTTTTCTCAAAAGAACCATGACCTTTCATGGCACGCGGACATTTCCAGTTTAAGTTTGCGCCAGGCGTTGTGGTTCCCACCTTAAAATAGTTTGCAAAGTCTTTTGTAGGATTTGTTGGACACGTTGCCAAGGTAGGCCGCTCACCTTCGGGCGTCACGTAGTAGTCGAACATGGCGTCCCCGGGGCCGCGCGAGGGCGGCAGGGGCAGCGCGCACGCCTCCCGGGCGCGCAGCCAGAGCTCCAGCCGCCGGCGGCCCTCCAGCTCCAGTGCCGCGCCCAGGCTCCACATCAGCGCGAAGACGAACAGCCTGCCCAGGTGCTCGGGCCCCACCTCGCCGCCCTGCTCCTGAGGACACAACACACTCCTCTGTTAATTACTTCTGTTCTATAACCAAAACTTGGCCCAAGGGAAGGAAAGGAAAAGAAAGGAAAGATAGCTTTCCCCCCAGCCCAGACAGAGCAGAGAATTGAATACAGCTGATGGGTTGGGCTGGGTTTTTTAGATAAACTAGGTGATTTTGTTAACCAGCAATTAATTCCCACATTGCTTTGTGAAAGCAAAAAAAAATATATAGATAGGTACACATATACATATCGATATACATATATAGAGATATGTGTATACATATAGACATATGCATTTGCATATATACATATACAGATATACAAATAGATGTAGAGATGGAAATAGGAGAAAGGGTGTTTAAACACATCCCCTGGCCCGTCCCTACCACTTTCTAAGCAAATCTAATTTCAAATACTGTATGGTCTGCAGAGTGTAACTCAGTGGGAAGGGAATTCTCAGAGCAAAGTGTTGACCTTTGCAGGGATGAGGCCCTGAAGCATGTTGATGCTCTGGGTGACGATGAAGGCCTCCAGAAGCTCCATCTTGTATTCTAGGTTCTGAATACTGAAGTGATACAGGTCCGGGAAAGACTCGGTATACAGCTGGCGCAGAATTTCAGCCTCTTGAGGAGGACGTTTCTTAAGAAAACCCTATGAGGTCACAGACAAGTGCATTAATTAAACCTATTAACAGGAAAATGACCATTTGAGTAAAAAACGTATTTTTAAAACTATCAGTTGTCATTAAATAATAATAAGTAGTGGTGATGCTGCACTTAAGATACAGAAGGCCTTGCTATATAGATGCGTTGACATATTATTTCATTTAACTCTTGAAAGCAATTATATGAAATAGGACTATTATTATTATTATATCTTTTTTACAGATGAGGAAACTGAGGTCCAAATAGGTTCAGTAACCCATCAGCATCCCACCACTGCTTAAGGTAAAGAGGCCAGAAAACAAACCCAAGGATTCTGACTTCCACATCTGGAAGTACAGTTGGCTACGCAACACACAGACTGAGGTTATGAAGCCAAATGCTGAACAAGTCTACAACTCTTCATTAAAACATACTAGAAGAAAAGGAGTAGACAACCAGATAGCAGTAACCGAAAGAGAGGAAAGCCACACCCAACTCCTTTAAATGGTATACAAAAAACAACCACAATCAGGAGTTTCTTTTCATTTTTCTAATTTAATTAACAGACATCATAGAAAAAAAATCAAGGAATACTCAGGAAAATAAAGAATTTGGTCATTTGGGAAACACTTTGTTAAGAAAGTACATGGGAAAAAAATAAAATACTTGGACTTCATAAAGAAATATTATTTAACACATCCATTTCCTAAAGTGAGGAAAATTCTCTTGGCAAGAGATTAACTCATCCTTTGACTCAATAGGGATCCTCAAACGTTAACTCTGAATTATTATTTAATTCACGAATTTGCTCTATTCGAGCTCAACAAAATATACTAATAGCTTAGAGTGAATAGGACTGAAAAAAGGGACATTCACCTGCCTTCTGGCCTCCTACAGACAATGGAATACCACTCTCATCTCCCACCTCTATCTCAACGAGTCTGCCTTTCCAATAACTCTCTCAGAGCTGCCTTGCCCTGTCTACCATTTCCAATCTGTCTCTTGGTGAGCTTTGCTTCTGTCCATTCATGTCCAAAGGAAACTGCATTATTTAAAGGCAGATAAGCTTTTATCTGCCTTTATGCATAACACTTATATAAAAGGTCCCACTCAGCTTCAATCCAGACAGAAGGTAATCAAAGTTTACATGATAAAGAAAAAACTATGTATTCCCTACTAATGTAAAACTATTTTGCACAAATCTTTGTGAAACTGAAATCCTTTGGAAGACTCACATAAATCCATTCCACCTGGAGTTTGTTGTATCTATAATTACCAAGCACAGCTGTATGAAAAGTCTGTTGTGGTGTATCTCCATGAGAGGAGTCCTGGGTTTTCCCAGAAATTCTACTTTAAGAGAATCAGGATGTGACCAAATCATCTATATTTCTAAAGATTGTAGTTGATGATTACTTCAGAAAGCTAGGGTCTTTATTTTCTTTAGTGGAGGGATAATTTAGTTTTGAAATATTAAATCTTTAGAAAAGTTTGTAGTGATAGATTGAATTATGTCAGTATCATTTTCCTATAGGATTGATCCTCCCCTAAACTACTACTTATGTTTCCCAACCTACACCTTTTTGCAACTCACAGTTGTATGACTTCTGGAGAGGCATTAACAAAAGTTAGGATATATCCACAATGAAATAAGAGAATAAAATGTGATGGGAAAATAAAATGAACATCTACCTTAATTAAACTGGGAAACTTGCAAGCAAAAATATTTTCAAAATATGAATGTATAAAAAGGTAATAAATCTAATCAACTATGATAAAAAAAATCCTGTTACATTATAGTATTAATTTAGTAAAAATATGTTAGCATACAAGGCATTCAATTTTAATCTAAAATGCTTTAATATATTGGTAGTAATAATACATACTTGATCATGAATTGGAGATATTGTCTCAAATATTATATCCAAGTACAAATTTAAAGCTAATATTATGACTACTGAAGCTCATAAAAACTCCTTATATATAATTTTAACAAATCAACTTCATGTTATTATCTTAGGATGGTTAGTCCCAAACTTTATGTGAACAAATACCTTTTAAAACTACCATGAATCCCCAAAGTGATCAAATTCAATTTTACTTATTCAGTCCTCAGACACACTTTGGCAGGATTATTGAGTCTCACGTGGGCCAGGCAGTTACTGGAAATTAGAGTGTTAACGTGATCAGAAGAGGAACAGAGAGCTGCAAGGTGCAATCCAAGTCGGAATGTCCCATTGCAGCCAAGGGTCTTCCATAAAGGTTAGCAAAAATAAAGCCATTGCACCACCTGACACAGATAACTCCAGGGCACACACTCAAAGACTGTGAAAAGATATGCTTTGGGTTTTTTTCTTTTCATAATCACACAAGAAAAGGGTTCTGTCTACCTCAAGAATGGGACTCCAGTCAAGGACAGAAGAGCTCATGAAAACCATTCCATTTCTGGAGACAGTAGCAGGAGAAGCATTGTCAATGTTGTGAGGTTCAAAAACGATCTTGCAGTTTGGGGCCATGGGAATCCGATCCCCATTGGCAAGGGTTAGCGTTTTATTATCATCCAAAACAGAATTCAGATTCTCAATCCAGATGGCATCCACTGGACCATCGAGAACTATCCAGATATGTTCCCCTGAGACACCAAAGGGGGGAAACAAACATAAACAGTTATGCATATGGGCATAGCTATTGGGTTTGAAGAAGTGCTAGAACTGAATGTAGATTTTACTGGCTTTCAGGAAAAGGTTGATCTAAATAATTGCTTCCACATATGGAACTTCTGAAGGTCTTCATATAGAACTTGAATAAGAGCCACAATCAACTCAAAAAGTCATTTGTTCACTGGACAAACATTCATTCAGCAGCTTCTGTATGTCTGTATTGTTCTAAAGTCTGGAACTACTATAGTAAATAAAATAATTCTCTGCCTTTAGAGAACCTGTGCTGTAAGAGCTAAAGAGCAAAACAAATAGGCAGAGAGACAGATGACACAGATCAAGTAGGTTGCAGGCATCAAGCATTATTGGAAGAGGATCCGTAAAAGATTTCACACAGAGAGCAAAGTGATGGAAAGATACAGAAGTAGGATGTTCCAGCCTGGAAATGAAGAGTGCAAAGACCCAGAGACAAAAACAAGCTTGGAATCATGCAATGTACTGAAATGTTTTGCCCTTTGGAGTTTATATGTGGAAATTCTAATTCCAAGGTGATGGAATCAGGCCTTTGGGAGATAAGTGGCAGAGGAGCCTTCAAGAATAAGAACAGTGCTCTTTTACAAGAAAGAGATTCCTTACCCCTCATCTATGTGAGGATATGAAGCTAGTAGTCTGCCCACCAGGAAAAAGGCCCTTCTCAGAACACAGCCTTGCTGGCACCCTGCTATCAGATGTGTAGCCTTCAGAACTGGGAGAAATAAGTGTCTATTGTCTATAGTCTCTCTGCTCTATGGTATAACACGATTGTGCTGTAACAGCCCAAAGGAACTAAGGCAAGTGACTATGCTCCAGGAACAGAAGTTGAATCTAACTAGCAATATGAGGGCAGGTGAGGTGCATGTATGTAGGTTTGTAATGCACAAGGTGGATGGGCCAAGGGAGACAGAGCTGTGGAATCAATTCTGCTTGCACTTGATAATGTCTCAGAAGTCCCAGGAGGGTGGTTGTGTAGGGAGTTCCAGGAAGAGATCAGGACTGGAGATTAAACTATGGAAGGCTGCAGTTTAGATATAACATCTAAAGCCATGAGACTCAGTCAATTTCTTCTAAATAAAATGCATAAATACAGGAGGCCCAAGGCAATGCAACATCTAAATTTCTCATAAATTCTTTGTGGTTGACTTCTCTCTCATCCAGATCTCTCAATAAATGGAGGTGGGAGAGGAACAAGCAAGATAAAGAATCTCTAGGGCCAAGTGAGGAAGGTTCTGGAAAGGGAGTGATCAGCTCTGACAGAGGTACTGAGAGCAAGACTAGCCAAGAATTGGCAGTCTGTGTTTGACAAACCAGAAATCTAGAAAGTCCGTCGTAGTATGATTTCAGGAGACAAGGGACAAAACCTGAGAGGAGTTATTTAAGCACATAAATGAAGGTAGAGAAAATGGCAAACACAGCAGAATGCACAAGGCTATGACAGTAAATGTAGGAATTTGACTTCATAGTAATGTTTTTCTTCCTAACTACCAGCTTCTTCTCTCATCCACCAGCACCACACCCAATTTTTCTTTGCTATGAAACTACTGTAAATATTCTATTTCCAGTACAATGCTTTGAGAATCCTAACCAAGCTCACTCAACCAGAAATGGAAGTGAAATGATGATCCAACCACAAGTCCCTTTGAAAGAAAAAGCATCTGCCACCTTTTTAAGGAAAAGGGGAAAAAACTTCCATTTGGATTTCCATTCACTAGATTTCTGGATCAAATCAACAAAATTTGATTTCTTTCTAGTAAAACAACTGCTTGGGAGACAACTTCAAAAATGAGGCATTTTTCTTTCACATTGACAACTGATGTTCAGTCCGTCCACTTCCTTCCTTAAATGAGAACCTCACTGATGCCAGTTACCAGCAGGATTCAGCTCACCCACAGGTGAGCCCAGGAAGTGTGCGAGGCCTCTCCTTTCCTTGCCCCTGTGCTCACCTTGGCTTTGCTCTGCTCACTCAGAGTGAGAAAACACAATGAGAGGAGAGCTGATGGCACCCCTTCCATGTGAGCTATGTTTTGAGAACATATCAGGGAGAGACAACGCCAACCAACACACTAGATCTTAATATGTTTGCTTAAAGAACCTGATACATGTCCATCCATACAGAATAATTTGCTGGTTCATTGTAGATTTCATTTTTGATATATGAAACTTTTTACTCAAAGATCTTTTTCTCCTGAAATCTTATATGGAAATTGTTTAAAAAAATAGGTTACACTTAAATAAAATTTAGCACTTGGAAAATATTCAGTGAAAATACTTGAGATAAAAATCACCATTCAATGCTATCAATTTTCCTTAAGAAAATGTTCCACCTATTTTCTTATAAGATGTCAAAATATATTTTTAAAAGAACACTTTTAAAAGGAGCCTTAAAGACACTAATCAATAATGTCATTATTCCAACATTTACCAGTGTCACAGTGATGTACTTTGTCTTGGCAACCATATGATATGAAGAAGACTATTGCTTTGCGAATTCTCTCCAGCCACCCAATATGTTATTTAGAAGCTCGTGTTAAAAATGAATGATACTTGTATTTCATATTTTACCTTTTTTGGCTTTCAATGTTTTCCTCCAAAGGGTAGAAAATATTCCATCAGTCCAATCATTTGTGGCCACATCCAGCCGACCAAACATCTGTGGTGCAGTAATGGCTTTGGGGTTCATCCTCATCTCCCGGTGTGGTTTTCCACAATCTGTACCAGATAAATCCACATTTAAAGATCTCAGATGCAGAATAAACCAATATAAAGGAACATTTGTGGTGTGCTGTCAACAAATGATCAAAATATAAAACATGCAACGTTATACTGGAAATATATGTCATATTACATTCCAAGTTATCCTAATTAGACTCTTTATACTTTATTGACTATAGCACTTCTCTGTCTTCTATAAAAGAATAATGCATGTGGTTATAATATTTTTGAAAAAGATGCCATGCTGAAATTGTGAAGATACTGTCAAAGTCTGGGCCTTCTTTAGATGTTACAGCCCAAAGAGTCTTTGATTTCTGATACCAGATTAAATCTTGTTCTTAAAATATCAGCTAGACAATGACTCATCCTGTAAAATATCAGCTAGACAATGACTCATCCTGTCCACTGTCGGCTTTGAGCAACTCAGACCTTCCTTTGCTTATCTTGAAAAAGGTAAACTAAATGCACTTGGTGCAGGTCAAGCACTTTATTTTGTAGCCACCCTCAAGAAATGAATTTGATACCTTTCCCAGCCTAAAACCACGATTAAATGATCTGGGATCCTGCATGTACCTGCCCTACAGGTAATGAGCAGAAGAGTGACAAATAATATTTTAAAATACAAACTCAGAAAACAGATACTGAAATACATAGTTGTATAAAAGATCAACAAACTCTAGCACACATGAACATACACATTAGAAAGATGTTACGTTAAAACCCTCTGTGATTATTATTTTTCTATGCCATCTTCACTGACCACATGGTTTCCACATTAAGCACTGTTTCTGAGTATTTCTGTAAAAGTGTTTCTGGATTAGATCAGTACTTTAACCTCTGAACTCAGTAAAGCAAGTATCACAGATGGTTAACATCCAATCTGTTGACAACACCAATAAAACAAAGGCACAGAAGGGAGGGAGTAACCCGAAGGGTCTATTGGATCTGAGAGATGTCATAACATATTTCCCAGCCTTTGAGTTAAGATGTATACCACCAGCTCCAGGGGTTCTCTGGACTTCATTTACATAACTACAATTCTTCGATCTCCAGCATACAGATGGCAGGGACTTCCATTTTCATGTGGGCCAATTTATTCATTAGGAATCTGTAGCGAGATGTGTGTGTGTGTGTGTGTGTGTGTGTGTCCCACGGAATGTGATTCTCTGGAAAAGCCTACCTGAAACACCATTTAGAAAACTGAACTATATATCCAATTTTCAGAAACCACAAAAGCAATCAGGATAATTATTTGCTTTATTTTACAGTGCTGAAGTGCAACTTAGCCACAGTTAAGCTTTTGCAAGCAATACCATCCATGACACTCTAGTGACACTATTTTTTTTCAATTGGCTCACACTTTGCAAAAGGTCAGCAAAATCTTAAAATGTGTGACAGTTTCATAGGTGACAACTGAACTTGATATGTTACACACACAAGAGAAACTATCAAAACTTATTTCATTATGATGGTAGCTAGATTTCCATCATGTTCATTTAATATAGCATAACACCTTTTTATAAATTTTTTACAAGCACACTCTGGGGGAAAAGTGCTTAACTGTCACAATGTTGTTTAAACTAAGCACTTCTTCACTCTCTTCAAAAAGTATTTCTTGGCTCAGTCCTGATCACGTCACCTTCATGAACCCTACTGTAGCAGAGGAACCTTTTCTTTGCTTCTGAGGACCTGAGATTGCCCCTTCTGCCCCTACTCTAGGCTCTCCTGGGTACCAGCTGGTCTTCTAAACACAGGCATGACCATGTCACTCCCCAGCTCAAGCATCCCATGATCTATAGAATAAAAGCCAAGTTCTTTTTTTTTAAAGTATTTTATTGCTATTGTAGAGTTGATATACAGAGGGGTTATAATTACATGAGTCAGGTAATGAGTAAAATTCTTTTTGAATTTTACTCAAATTCCCTTGCTCACTCCCAGTTTTTCCCTCCTGCGCCTACCCACAAGATATACAGTTCATTTCCCACAGTGTCTAGTGAGTACCACAGCTGTATTTGTTCACCCTTTGTCCCACCTTTTCTGTGCTCTCCTTACCATCCCAAAGACACACAAACTCACAAACAAGACAAAAGGAAAAGAAAATAAAAACAGCAACAACAGCAACTAAAAGAAACCTCTTGTTTCCTTTTTTGGAGTTAACTTCATAGAATATTATTTTATATGATCATATACACATAGCCATTGAATCTTTGTGATCCACTCCAAGCGTAATTCTCCTTTGGCCTCAATGTGTGAATATCTAAAGACCTATATAACTTATCATGTCTCAGTGTGTATTTATATTTTAATCATTCAGTGTAGTTACTTTATAGGCATGTATATTTATAGGCATATTCTAGCTACCACAAATGAGGGAAATCATGCAACCTATGTTTCTTTGGGTCAGGCTTACTTCACTTCATATAGTTTTTTCTGTCTTCCCACTTCTTTACAGATGGTACAATAGCATTGTTTCTGATGGAAGAGTAGAATTCCATTGTGTATATAGACCACCTTTTCTTGATCTGGTCATTCACTGAGGGGCCTCTGGGTTGACTCCATATCTTGGCTAAGGTAAACAATGCTGCAGTGAACATGGTTGTGCTGGTAGCTTTAGTTTGGCCTTGTCTGTGGCCTATTGGATAAATGTCCTATCTTAAAAATAACTAGTGCAAAAATTGCTGGAGACATGGTGTAGCTGTAGAACATCTGTCTAGCAAGCACAAGGCCGTGAGTTCAAACCCCCTGATCACTAGAAAATATCTAGAAACTGTTTATCCTAGTTTGATAGAAAAAAAACATAAAATCACTTCAAAGTATATCAAAATCTTAATAACTTACACGTAAACTATGTTACAAATTCTGCAAGTATGAATTCTTGGTTTGAATGTAGGTGCAAATAAAGAGCAGAGTCCATCTCCATCTGAAACCATTCTGATAGAGTCCTATTATACAGAATTCACATTGTCCCAATAACTGAAGGAATCGAGATGAAACCCACTTGCACACATCCCTAGAACAAAACTGGCCATCTTAGATAACCTTCAACAGTGCACCAACCACAAGGCACCAGATATTGGTTGGAAAACCCAGCCAGCATCTCTTCCCTAGGGAGAGGTTTGTTTTATTCCAACATTCCAAACTCCTGTGAAGTTCTGAACTCTGCTCTACCATGGCTGCATGATGAACATGTATTTAGGAAAAGTCACCAATGGTCAACGTGGATTAGAGAATACAGAGATAGCACAAACATGGCAATTATCCTGAGTTGACCTGGGCAATCAACTTAGATAGAAAGCTTATCAGTGTCTGGAAATAAAATGTATTTATTTAACATCATCAGAAAAATATCTAACTCTACTTTGAGGATTAATTTATGATTCAGCTGATTTTTCACAAAGTTTAAGACATGGAATTTAAATTGTTTTCAACATTAGGAGGTAGTATTTTATTTTGTATTAATGAAGAACTGGTAAGTTGGGGAAAATCTGGGTTTTTGTTAAGGAGCCCTTAACTCTGATTGCCATCACTTGCCATCTGTGTGACGGTGGGCATTTTTTTTTTAATTTGTACCAAACAGAGAAAGCAATAGCCATCTCTCAAGATGAACACAAAAATTAAATGACATAACACATGAAGCCTACAGCACAGTAATTGTAATCTTTTTCTCTCTGGCCCATTATTTTATATGCCATCCTTTAAATGTATTTAACAATCAGTGAGGCAACATTTCTTCCTACAAAAATGTAGTCATAAATTTTGTGTCCCTTTGTGCTCCTCCTGGGCACTCATATGGGTAATAACCATTTTGGTGTGTCCCCAGGGCAATGAATGTGTCTGTCCCATACCTATGATGGCTGTCCATCCTTGTCACAGCTGTCCCATACCTGTCATGGCCTTCATCAAGGTGTGGATACAAGTGGTCTTCCCTGCTCCGCTAGGCCCCAGCGCCATCATACCGTGCCTCACCCTCTGAGTTTCAAACAGCTGGATGACCTTCAGTTTCCAGGGAGGGTGGTTGATCAAGCCAGCTTCTTCAACCTGAAACATAACAAAATACCCACACTGGAAGACATCCACAAGGATCTAGAGTTACCAATGTGCTTAGAAATGCACAGACATAGGGTGGGGGAAAGCAGCAAGGAAAGAAGAGTGTTAAATGGGTTTAGAGTTCCAATGTGGTAGCTAGCAAGATCAATAGAAAGCCCACAGATTGGGAGAAGATCTTAGATCTTCACTAGCCATACAACAGACAAGGGTCTCATATCTAAAATATATCTGGAACTCAAAAAATTAAATCCCCCAACAACAAATCCTCAAAGAAACAACTTCCCAATAAATAAGTGGGCTAAAGACTTAAAGAGAAACTTCTCTGAAGAGGAAAGAAGGATGGCCAATAGACACATGAAGAAATGCTCAATCTCCCTAGCCATAAAAGAAATGCAAATCAAAACAACATTGAGATACCACCTCACCCCAGTTAGAATAGCAAAAATCAAGAACTCTAATAACAGCAGATGCTGAAGGGAATGTGGACAGAAGGGAACCTTACTGCATTGTTGGTGGGAGTGTAAACTTGTTCAAACACTTTGGAAAGTAATATGGAGGTTCCTCAAAAGACTCCACATAGAGCTCCCCTATGACCCAGCAATCCCACTTTTAGGCATTTACCCAAATGTTTACAAACAAGACCACACTAAAGCTACCAGCACAACAATGTTTATTGCAGCATTATTTACTATAGCTAAGATATGGAACCAACCCAGATCCCCTCAGTAGATGAATGGATCAAGAAAATGTGGTATATATACACAATGGAATTCTCTGCCTCCAACAGAAAGAATAACATTGCCCCATTTGTTAGGAAATGGAAAGGCTTGGAAAAAATTATATTAAGTGAAGTAAGCCAAGCCCAAAGAAACATAGGATCCGTGGTTTCCCTTATTTGCAATATCTAGTATATGTCTGAGTCAAGCAGAAAAGGACAGATAAGGTGATGTTAGGGAAATGAACCCTAAGAAATGTTTTTTTTTTTTCTTTCATGCGATTATTTCTAATGCATTCATAAGATTATTTCTTTGTTGCTTTGTATGTCCCTCCCCCACAGTACACAGTATAACCCCTGCTTTCACTGTATTTGATGTCGGTATAATTTGTGGAGGGGAAGGGGAAAAACAAGTCGTTTAAATAAGGATACAGGTGGACCCGTTGCAACAATGAGAAGTACAAGTCGTTATGTCGAAAACGAACTTTACAATTTTGGGGCGGGGGGCGGGGAGGATTGGGTGGGGGGGCAGGGGGGAGGATGGGAAAGGATGGGAAGGGGAAACAAAGGAGGAGGCTTCAATGCTTGATAAGAAAGGTACTCATTATCTTGCCCATGTAATTGTAACCCCTCTGTACAGTATTTTCACAATAAAAAATAAATAAAAATTTAAAAAAAAAGAGTTCCAATGTGGCTAAATAAAAGCATTCAGAGGAGAGATGGCAGGGATGAATCACAATGTCACTGGATCTACAGCCACCAGGCTGAAAGCTGCAAAGTGAGTCTAATAAAAAAAAAAGGTATGGCAGCCATTCTACCAAAATAAAGATCTCCAAGACGAAAAATTGCAATAGACACAAAAGCTCAGCATCCTCAAAGTATTATCTCAAGCTAGGAAGGAATGTCTGCATTTCTCTTTGGGAATTGAATACATACATATTCATATTTTATTGAATGTGCATATGAGGAGCAACTTAACAAAAATGCATTTTGACTATTTTATTAAAATGTAATCTTGTAAATAGAAAACTGCATAGCATCTGGGGTCAGTTGAAATTTGAAAAAAAATTTCAAGCAGTCTTTATAGTTTCAATATTGACTATATTTGTGTAAATTTTTTTCTTTTCTTTTTTTTGTCAGTTGTGGGGATTGTACTCAGGGACTGGGTGCCATTCCTGAGCTTCTTCACGCAAGGCAAGCACTCTACCACCTAAAGCCACAGTGCCACTCCCATTTTCTGTTGGCTTATTGGAGATAAGAGTCTCATGGACTTTTCTGCCTGGACTGGCTTCAAACCATAATCCACAGATCTCAGCCCCTTCACTAGCTGGGATTACAGGCATGAGTCACCAGCACCCAGCATCTTTGTAGATTTAACCAATCAAATAACAGAGTGTGGAAGTTATATCACGTTGACCACTATTCTAATTAATGTTCAAAATGAAATTATAGACAGGATAGGGGAGAACGATGGAAGGGGTGATCAACATGCACTGGACACTTACATGGAAATGTTCAATTGTAATCCCTTGTACAACCTTTGAAAGTTCAGCAACTGAAAACAATTTTTTTTAATTTTTGAGAATAAAATGATGAGCTGGGAATGTGGCTCAGTGGTAAAGTACTTGCCTAGCATGCATGAAGCTCTGGGTTCGATTCCTCAGTACCACATAAACAGAAAAGGACAGAAGTGGTGCTGTAGCTCAAGTGGTAGAGCGCCAGCCTTGAGCACAGAGAGGCTCAGGGACAGATCCTGACTTCAAGCCCCAGGACTGGCAAAAAAAAAAGAAAGAAAGAAAAGAAAAGACAAAGAATAAAATGAGGAGCCAAGCACCCACTATAATCCTAGCTACTCAAGAGGCTAAGATCTGAAAATCATGGTTAAAACAAGCTTGGGCAGGAAAGCCCATGAGACTCTTATTTCCAATTGACCACAAAAAGCCAGAAGTAGAACTGTGGTTCAAGAGGTAGAGCTCTAACCTTGAGCAAAAAAGCACAGGCACAGTGCCCTAGCCCTAAATTCAACCCCTAGGGCCAGCAGAGAGAGAGAGAGACAGAGACAGAGACAGAGGGGGGGGAGAAGATTGGCAGTCTTAATCTTTTCATTTCCGTTGTATAGATGATGAGGAAACTGAGGCACAGGATGACTAATTTACCAAAGATTTCAGTTTGTAATCAAAAAGTTGGGTTGAATTAAATGTTCAGCTCCATTGTCTATGCAGTGAATCTTCACACGACACTTGAATCCAAAGTAAATGACAATTTATTTCTGCTCACTATATTAGGTATTTACAGATTTGTCATGCACTACAAAAAGTCAGATTATCACCATATAAATTAGTTAAGACTTAGTTTATTAGGGAGTGTTATAATTAATTTGACCAAATGCTGAGCAAACCCTTTGGAGAAATAATTATCACTCCTTCTTGGTTCTGCAACTCAGACTTTAATATATCAATTCTAAGCAAAATATATATTAAAAACTACCAAATTTGATTTTTATTGAGAATATCTTCAAGGAATTAAAATACATCTGATAAACATGAACTGATCACCTATAAAATAATACTTTTCTGAATGTTTCATCATAGGTGAGCCAATACATGACTTATTTCCATTCATGAGAAGACAATTTAAAAGTTCTCCTGCACTGTATATCCGGGGAAGTGCAGACTCCTCATACTAAGGCAGTGCAATGCCACTCCATTGTCTAAGAAATCCCAAGTGCCCAAAAGAAAAGAATGACAGTTGAGAAAGCAACAAAAAAATATCACTATAGAAATAATGCAGTGATAGATGCTTTGGTCTAAAGACCAACCAAATGGCAAATGCTAGAGCCACAGGCAAAACCAAGTCGACCTTGAGCTAGGAAATCATTTGAGCCCCACAGGGTCCCAACTGACAAATCACATTTCACCTCCAAATCTGGTAGGAGGAGCTCTGTGGATGGTGTGTAGGGCTATAGCCTCCGGGCTATACTAACGTGCCATGGTTGAAGGTGTGGCCAGACCCACTCAGACAGCAGACACACCATGTGGTAAAGGCCGAAACATTTTACCTGTCTGCCAATTGCTGCTTCCAGTTCAGGGTAACCGGCCTTGTCCAGGAGAATATTTGGGAAGAGATCCTCAATCAGACTCAAAAACAAGGGCTCATCCTCATCGGTCTGAAAAAAGAACAGAGAACAATCCAAACAGCGATTCTACCACAAACATGGGGATAGACAAGTGAAATGAAGTGGAAAAGCCCACCACAACCACCACTACCACCACCGCCACTATCATAGAGCTTATATTAACGTAGACATCAGCAAATAATACACAACCAACTTCATACTTGAGCAGCATTATCCTCCTCTTTCTTAAAAATTGAAATAAGTAAATAAATAAATAAAAGTGAGAAAAGTAAAGAAGAAAAGAAAAGACTACCTTCATGACAACTTTTCCACAAAAGCAAATCTAGGGAATATAGCAGCCTACAATTCCTAATTTAAAGTAAAATAAATTCCTTGGGATGATAGGGAATTAAGGCATTCAAATGTGGGTTGTGCTTTTATCTTTAAATAAAAAAATTATTCTATCATCCTGTATAATATTACCTGCTACAGAACATTGACTATCAGTGTTTACTATAAGAGGGTGACATCACTGTACATTTGCAAAATTTAATACAACTTCCTACTAGGTTCTACAGACCATAAAGTGGGCAATAATTTTAGTTCTCCAACACAAAAATAATTTACAGTGTTTGGAACCTTCACTTAGATTTTTTTTAATCTTTTTCAACTCTTTTGGAATAGATATACTTTAAGCTAAATAGAACTTCTTAAAAGTGTATAATTTCTTTGGAATAGACATATTTTAGACCAGAGAGAACTTCTTGAAAATGTGTCATTTATATCTATACTCTCCAGCACTTTGTCTTGATAATTAGCACTTAAGATGAACATTTTAAATAAATATTTCTAAATCTCATTTGTGCTTAATTAGTGGAACTGATAAGTAAGCAGGTGGAACACTTCCATCTGTGAGTCTTACTAGTTTGGAAAGGTTCATGTCGCGCAGCACACGCATGACAATCGTGGACTCCGTGTCCATGGGGTTGGCTCGTTTTGCGGCCCCCAATGTCCGCAGGACCGACAGAATGTTTCGCAGACCAAAGTCATAGTGGACCTGAAGAAGGGGAGGGACATTGGGTTCACCTTCAATGCTAGACTACTCACAGGAACCATATGAACCAAGAGAAAACACCTGCGATAATGAATGAGCACTGGTTTCCTTTCAAAACAAGTTCACACATAATGTGTGCCCAAAGATTTCGGTATTACATATTTGAGAGAAAATTAACAATACCCAAAAGAATCCTCCCATGTACTATCACTAGCTTAAACTCAAAAGTCAGAACAAAAAAATGTAGATGGAGAAAGGGATAAATTCCTTCTTGGAGTATAGACATCCCCTTGAACTTACTCTTCATTAGTCATATACACCCAGGTGCCAGTAGTTCACATCTGGAATTCTAGCTTCTTGGAAAGCAGACATTAGTGGGGATGGGGTGGGGCAGGGGGGTAAGTGGGAGGAAGTCATAATTCCAGGCCAGCACACGACCAAAGTTAATAAAACTCTATCTAGACCAATAATTAGGTATATTGATCCCCAGTTATGTGGAAATCTGGGAGGCCAACCTAGGCAAAAGAGTTCCTGAGACCCTCAATCTCAACAGGGAAATCTGAGTGTGGTGGTATATGACTGACAGCCAAGCTATAAGAAGAAGCAAAATAAGAGAATCCCAGTCCAGACCAGCCAGGGGAAGTGAGATGGTAGTTTTCTTTGTCAAACTCCATGAATGAGAAGAATCTGAGAAATGGAGAAATTCTCTTTGGAAGAATAAAAGTGAGAATGATTCCTGGTACCAGCAGCTCATACCTGTAATCCTAGCTTTTCAGGAGGCTAAGATCTAAGGATCTTGGTTCAAAGTCAGCCCAGGCAGGAAAATCTGTAAGACTCTTATCTCCAATTAAGCACCAAAAAAGCCAGAAGTAGAGCTGTGGCTCAAGAGGTAGAAGGGACAGTGCCCAAGACCTGAGTTCAAACCACAGCACCAGAAAAAAAAATCCATGAGGATAAAATCAATTTTATAATAAAAACTACAGTCCAGGATTTTTCAAACACTCCTCTCAACAGACAGCGGAAACCTGCTTCAGCCCACAGAATCCTTCAGAACAACACACCTGCTTCGAAAGTTGTTCTTCACACAGCTTGTAGAGTGTGAAAAACTTCCTGGCTAGAACAATGTTGTCAATGAAGCCACAACTGGCCAACTTCACCCTGATGATAATCTGACGGTCAGGAACCATCATGGCCACCGAGCGGAAGTTGATCTTCAAGTTTTCTGGGAGTTCCTGTCGCCCTGCATAGCCAGGATTCTACAGGGAAAGAAATCCAAGGATGAATGATATATTCTTGGGGCAACAAGGACACAACTGGCATGATATTAAAAGATTCATTATGTACACATGACAAATCTAGAATAACAACCAGAAAACTCATTTACATATCTCACGTTTACCTGGACGGACGAAGTCATGAGTGATTAATGAGCTTTGTTTGACACCAAAGGCTTCTGAACAGGAGTGAGAATTACAATGTCTATTTCTATTCATGAAACGTAGATTGACATATGACCACAAAGAGAAGGGAAGATTGTGACCGAAGGCTGAACATGAGAAGCTCTTCTAATGTTTCCTTACCATAGTCAGAAAGAGTCCAAATTCAGGGTTCATCGTCACATTGTCTCCATCAGTAAAAATAAAAGATTTTCTGTGCTCCTTTTTACATGTGAGAATAATAGAAATTTGCTGGGCTGCGACTGAGAGAACCGGCAGATCGATCCGGTTAAATTCATCGAAGCAGCCCCAGGAACCAGACTGCGCCAACCCTTAGAAAGGAAATTAAATTAAAAACATAATTAGTGAATGATTTTGGAAAGCCAAGGAAAAGGACATTACACAACTGCCAAAATAAGCCTACAACGGGTTCGTTCAAAATTGAAGGTGAACAGCTCGTGCAAAAAGCGACCCAGAAGAGCTCACAATCTGACAATGCATCTGTAGACACTCAGCCCGCATTAATAAAGCAAAAATACAAAGGGTAAGTGGTCTTAACATTTAGTTCAAACAACACTGGTGAGAGTTAAGATTTTCCAGTAAGTATTACAAAGATGAAAAAAAAAAAAAAAATATATATATATATATATATATATATATATATCACCAAAATTTAGCTATACGTTGAATAGAAATATATTTTTCCTTTTCCTTCTTTGTGTTTTGGTTTGGTTTATTGTGGTGTGGTGTGGTTTGGTTTGGTTTTCTTGACACTGGAGATTGAACATAGGAACTCACTCAAGCTAACGTGTGCTTTACTATTGATCTATACCACCCACTTGTAATAATAAGGTATGATCTTAATGAGACATTACACCTCAGCTGAAGTTTCTCACTGAATAAAAGATATAACTCTCACCTTTAAATATGCGTCCAAGTCCTCGGAAATCCATCTGGTCTGAACAGTTGAAAACCACAACGTATTTCCCGAGACACCGTCCCATGTCCTTGGTGGTCTCCGTCTTGCCTGTCCCTGCAGGCCCGGCGGGGGCGCCTCCCATGCTCATCCCCAGCGCTTGGGCCAGCGTAATGTAGCACCTGGATGGGAGGAGAGCCTCGCTGGAACTTCATGCCAGCGTGCAGAAGACCTTCTGAGACGTCACGGCAAAATGAACACACCCACCATTAAAAGACAGGGAATCTGGGCCACTGTCCCTACAGAACATTTCCAAAACCACACCCTTACACAAACTGATCCTTACAAATGTCAAGATACAGTGAAGGAAAAGATGGCTGCTAATAAAAGAATTCTGAAAACTCTTGGAAAGCTACACAGATTCTTTGCTGATTTTTAAGTATAACTTTAAATTAATGATATTTGTAGTAAATATTAAGAGTCTTCATGAATGAAAAAAATGCCAAAATTTTTGGCAACTTTTCCTTAGAAATCTATCCATATCTAAAGAATAGTATTCACCCGATCTCACTAATCATCAGGAAAATGCAGATGAAAACCACTGTGTAATATCACTCCCAGCCTTCAAGATGGCTGCTACCAGCAAGACAAGAAGTGGAGAAAGAGGAACCTTTACACACTGTTGGTAAATGCAGCTAGGTGCAGGTGTTATGGAAACAGTATGGAGTTGCCTAAGGAAATGAAAAATAGAACTAGCTAAGAAACCTCTCTTTTTCCTGTTTATTTTTTTAGTGTTTAATTTTTGATGGCTCTGACTTCTTTGCCTTATATATGGTGTATTCAAGTGTGTATGTCGGGAAGAGTTGGGGGAGGGTACAAACTTGAGGGAAAAAGCGTGAAAAGGCACAGCAGTGAAGCTCACCCGACACTGATAAACGTGAACCATACAACTCGTGGGTGGAGACGGGAGGAAGGGACTGGGAGAGAATAAGGGAACAGAAGACGGACACTCTATGAAAGGAAATGTACTCATTATCAGACTCATGTAACTGTAATCCCTCTATAGTAGCAATTAAGAAAATTAATAATGTTTTTTAAAAGACAGCAGCAGGAGAGGAAAAAAAAACAATACATCCCAGCAAGCTCCTCTCCAGGTGCAAACCCAGAGGTTTCACCAAGCCCCTGGAACTGTCATGTTCATTGAGACATTGTTCCCAGCAGCCAAGAAATTACCCAATTGTCCATTGAGAAATGGATGTTTAAAGTATAGTAGATTTATACATTGGAGTACTATTTGGCCTTTAAAAAAGAAAAAGAAAATCCTGCCATTTGCCACACAGGAATACAAACCAGACACAGAAAGACAAGTACTACATGATGTCACTTACAAGGGGCATCAGGAATAAGGGGAAAGACTGAAGACACAAAATAAGACGTGGTTGCCAAAGACAGAGGAGGGTGAGGAAACATGGGGAGGCCGATCCAAGGATACCGTATCACTCCTGTTAGATGGATAGGTATACAGGCATAATATAACCGTGAAGACTACAGTCAATAAACTGTATTGTGAGAAAGATCAGACTGAAGTAAGTAGAATGCAGCTACACATGCTGCCTAAAATCATAATGATGTAATCTGTTGGATATGTTAATTTGCTTAACAGTAATAATCGTTTTACTATCACAATATATATATGACGATATATAAATATATATGTATATATTGTGATAGTAAATATATATATATATATATGTATATATATATATATCCCCATTGCATCATGTTGTAAACCTCAAATGTTTGTTTTTAAAAACAAGCCAGGCCTGGTGATACATGCCCATAATCCCAGCACTTCCCAAGCCAATGCTGGAGGAGCTCATCATCAAGACCAGCCTGGACTACATATCAAGTTCAAGGGCACCCTGAGCTACCTAGTGAGACTATTCAAAAACTAAAAGCTAGGGAGATAGTTTAGTACTAGAGTGCTGGTTCAAACCCCAACACCACAAACAAAAAGAGCAAATAATTTGATGTACTTCATTTAAGTCACACATTGCTGAGCGATCACATCTTGAATCTTTGTGAGCATCTATTAGTTGTATTCATACTTCCATGTCTTACTTTACGAGGTTAACAAATGCAAGTTTGTAACTGGAAAGGAAAAGACTTTTTAATCTTGAAAATGTCCTGGTAAATTACTTGATTACCAGCACCACCTGGTGTTATCAAAGGAGACAATTCAAAAGTGTTGCCACTAATGGTCATCCTATAAAGCATGTATTGGATTTGGAAGGGATCTTACAGGAAAGAAAGTAATTTTCCAGTGTAAGTGGGGAGTGAATGGTGAGCACACTGACTACACATCTTCTAGGGTCTCTGTTATTTAAAAAAAGGGGTTCCCCAAAAAGCAAAGGATGGCTCAGTCCTGATAGCACATGGGGCTGGATCCAGAGGAGACAGTCTGTGTATAAATCAGGAGGCCACCTGCTCACGCTTTGATTTTGCCTTTCAAGCAAAGATCTCGCTTCTCCCTTGGCATTTTTGCCATCCTTTTCAGAGCAGCATCTGTAATACTAACAGCCCAAGTGGTGTATTGCATCTCATTAAATCCCCAAAGACTCCTAAAAGGAAAGTACTCTACTTTTTCCATTCACAGATGAGGAGAGAGGCTCCCTAAAGTGGGCTTTTCTTGGAATCACAGCAAAACTGAGATTTAACCCATCCCATGGTTATAAGCCAAGCCCTCTCAGTGCCCCCGGGCCCTGGGACACTTCTAGCCACTCAGGGCAGAATATGCATCTCTACCACCTCTGGTCACTGGCTACTGTCCTGAAAATCCTCTTTATACCTGGGTTTGTATCTTTACATTGGGTTTGCAAATAAACTAAAGTGCTAAATCATCCTATATACATGAAAAATGGGTGAGCAGGCTGGGAGATCCATGGCTTAGTTTCTCTGCACTGAGTGGAGAGAAGAGCCACCGAAAAACCTGCATGGGCAAGAAAGACTTTCAAAGCTTCTCTCTTCGTGCATTTGTGAGACACCCTGAGCATCCCACACAAAAAGGTTAGTAAAGAATGTGTTTTCTGGGCTGGGAAGGTGGCTCAGTGGTAGAGCGCTTGCCTTGCATGCATGAGGCCCTGGGTTCGATTCCTCAGCACCACATAAGTAGAAAAAAGCCAGAGGTGGCGCTGTGGCTCAAGTGGTAGAGCGCTAGCCTTGAGCTGAAGAGCTGAGGGACAGCGCCCAGGCCCAGAGTTCAGGCCCCACGACCAAAACTCCCCCCCCCCAAAAAAAAAAGAATGTGTGTTCTTTCATAGAAAAATCATGATTAACATCTTCACTGTCCCGGGCCCCTATCTGAATTGTCATTTTCTGCCATTCTTGTTATCTGAAGTTAACTATAGTTCAAACATATCAAGTAGACATTTTGAGAGATAAAAAGATTCTCATATAACTTCGTGCAATATATTTTTTATCATTTTCATCCTAAATAATTGTTCATCTCTTACTATGCCTAATTTATTAAGTAAATAGCCTAAGTACATCCACATAGGGAAAAAATACCTATTATACATTCTGTCTGCTAAAGACAGAATCAATACCAGACCGCATCAATATAATAACAGCCAATCGGAGAGCATCCTCCAATGGTCTCGGAACCTACCCCCACAAACACAGAAGGACTCTTATACGTGAACTCTAGTCTCTATTGATTCCAAAAGAAGAAAATGAGAGAGGTTATTGCCTCCCTAAGACTACACAGCTGCTAGAGAGGAGCCGAGTGGTCAAAGAAGACACACATTGTTAGTCCTGTCCGTACTTCCAACGCTTCCAACAAACACTTCCAACAGCCTTGGATTTCCTCTGCCCTTGGTCTTAAGTGACAGCTCTGGTAAAGATAACGCCAGTGCTCTCTGCATGTGCCCAAAAGTAAAAGGAAGGATGGCCGAGTTTGGGAGAAAGGCGCTACGGTTTTACCACGTTAGGATGGCAGCCAGATCATCTGAGATGAGACAGCTCCACCCACATGGTGAGGAGCTAGCGACCCACTGTCCTAATTCTCCAGGGCTGACTGACAGCAAGAGGCTGACAACACACCTGTGAGTGCCCCAGCACTGGATTTTTACAGAATATTCACTTTACTGAGGAGTTCTCTTTTTGTTTCCAGTGAATTCCAATGTCTCACCTTTCACACAATTAACAAAAACAAACACTCATGCATTGGATCAAAATAAACTTTAGAGCCACTTCCACTTACGAAGCTCGCTAGTTTTGCTTTCAAAGTTTTAGTAAGAAAAGAAAAAGAAGTTGTATACTATGACCCATGAAAATTGGAATGAATTGGAATGAATTTTACAGGACAGAAAATAAACTACTCAATCATTTTGAAAAACAGACCTTTTCTTCTTCCTCTCTCTCACTTTCTGATTTCTGTTATATTTAAATTTCTACCATAAAGTAGCAAATTTGGAAATAACCACTTCTTCCAGTTCTTTGGGAAATATTTATTCAGCACTTAGTATCTAACAGAACTGTAGTAGTGAATAGACTGAATGAAAACCACACTTCCAGGAGTTTATGAAAGGAAATGCTTATTTAAAATGGATAAAAATGGAAAAAGAAGTTGAGCAGGGCAACTGTACCGCCACCACTGTGGGGGGGGGGGGGGGGGGGGCGAGCCCAAAACTCTTCCAGAGTGACATTCATGAGGAGAACGGAAGGAAAGGAGGAAGTGATACAATCACATACTAAAGAAATGGCTCAGGACAAGAGAGGACAAGTCCAAGGCCTTTGAGGCAGCGTGTGTGCTACACCTGTTTAAGGAATAGCTAAGGAGCAGGTGTCTGGAACTGAAAGAGAAAAGGAAAAGAATGTACAGGGGCCAGCTCACACCAGGCCTGCTAGGCTACAAAGATGCTAGCTTCTGCTTTGTATGAGGTGGAACCTCAATTGAGGGCTGGGGGATAAGAAGTGACAAGGTAAGACTCACGTTCCGGTGCATGACTGGAGCCTACACTGTGGAGGGCAATAATGGACAGGGAAATTAGTTAAAAGACAATCACTGTAATCCGAACTACTCAGGAGGCTGAGATCTAAGAATCACTGTTTGAGGCCAACCCAGGCAGGAAAATCTATGAGACTCCTATCTCCAACAAACTACTGAAAGAACCAGAAGTAGAGCTGTGGCTCAATGTTAGAGCATCTAGTATTGATGAAAAAAAGGTCAGGGATAGCACTCTGGCCCTGAGTTCAAGCCCCAGGACTGGCCTTCAGGAAGGAAAGGAAGGGAAGGACATGGTGGTGCTTTGGAAGGAAGGAGCTAGGGTAATTGTCCACTATCCCAAAGGCAATTCCTACTTGGGAGCTCTTCACAGTTTTAAACTAATATTATTGACAAATCATTAAGTGTGTGCCTTCAAAGAGTACAACCATACTTTGCTTTGCATACAATGCAGAATGATTAAATCAAGCCAAACAGTTATAATAAGTATTTAGTGGATTTCTTAACAGAGAACTTAAAATGTGGCTGACATCACAAAGGTCAAATTAGACTAAGTGAAGTACTGACTTCTAATCCTGGAAGGGACCTAGGGGCTGCCCAGTTCATGGCAGAGTCCAGGGAGGTACGATGGGGCTCTGCCTAATGAAACTGGTAAATGACAGGCAAGGAGCAGAAGTGAACTTCCTGTGTGCCAGCCACTGAGAAGCATGCTCTCACCTGCACTGTTACCCCATTTCTACCTGTCTTTTTGGGAAGGAGTGCAGTAACTAATGAAGCCTTCAAGGCGCACTGTGATCTACACCTAGTGACATACCGCCATTAGCTGCCTTTCTTGCCTGTTGAACATCCACAGAGGCATTTACACTTTGCCTCTGTAAGACTGAGGCGGAGGGGGCCAGGTCTATTACGAACACCAACATAAATCCCATGTGAAGACACAGGTGGGAAACAGAAATAAGGACTTGCAAACGCTTTGTTAGGAAAGAGTTTCCAAGCCCTACAGAGACATGAAGCTAATGCCTTCCCTCCACACAACCTAAGAGAATAAAACTGTTGGATGGGAGGGGAGAAGAGGGTTTGAAATCACCGAATCTTTCCATCACCTGTCTGTGAGTGGAGTTATGACAAGCCTGTCAGTGCAGCCTAAAAATTCATTCTGGTATATGAAAGCCACATCTGTGATGTGGATGTTCATCTTGTCAGAGTCTTCGTTAAAGTAAAACCTGCACTGTTTCAACCACTCAAAGTCTGTAGGGCTCTTGACATGCAGATGACACTGAAATGCAAAAGGTGTAGGTTAAAATTGAGATGGGAATCATTTATTCCATAGGCATTAGCAGTTATTTATGCAGATCATAAAGTACAGTCATTATATTCGATGTATATTATGTAAAAATTGAACTCTGTAACTTGAGCATAGGGATGGGGGGAGGGAGGAATGGGAGAGAAGAATGGAAGGTGTGACATTGATCAACATGTATTATACTCATAGCCTGACTTATGGAATTGTAACCTCTTTGAACAAATACTTAATTTTTATGGAACTAAAAGACTACCCAATAAGTCAGACACATCAATTATCATCACCTAGCCTATTCAGTTATTGATCAACAAAGAAAGTTCAGAAGACATGGGTAAAGGAAAACCTAGCACAATCAATTGTGCCCCACCAATTTAAATGGCCTAGGTTAAGGGTGAGACTTGCTTTTTGTTTTTTTGTTTTTTTACAGTACACCCCTTAATGCCCCAAATCAGAACATTTCAAATACAATCCCACAAATACATAGTCCACAAAATACAGTCTGTAGAAAGCATGTTAAGACACAAAGAAGAAGTAAACAATGTCATTAGGAAAAAACCTATTAAGATTATGACAATGCTCACTACTGAATTGTTTTTTAATCTTTTAATTATTTTTTCTATGAACTTGTAGCAGACCAAGACTTTGAATGTCTAAATGGCAGTGCATTATTGCTCAAGCAATGCCTTTGTCAACATTTTTAAACCAAAATTTTAAGCCATTCTAACCATTTTTCTTGACAAATAAGAAATCTGAAATTACCCTGAGCCCTTTATTTCTGAGAGGCAAACTGTGTGCTTAACTATTAAGAGAGGAGATTAGCACAAAGGAGCTTGAATGTGCTGTCTTTTTACTTCCATTCCATCAGCACCAATCTTTCATAATCTTTTTTACATAATGGGGTTGAGACACAATCCAGAAAATTATTATGAAAGTAAGAGGTCTAGCCTCTTATCTAATGTTGTATTTCACAGCAGAAGGCAAATTTCATTTCTTTTCACATTTCACAGTTCTGTAACTTCCCAGCCCTCCCTTCTACCACATTGTCTCCTTCAAGGAAGAAATCCTGCACAAGACCTGAAGGTCACAAGCTATATTAAGAAAGACTACTTTATAATCAGTGACATAATATGTAGAAAGACCTATAGGATGGGATTTATAGAAATCCCTAAAAGAAAACCTAACAAGCTCTAGCTAGCAATACTAGTTATCATACAGCAGGAATATAGCAAGAAATTAGTAATTTTCCACCACGTGGAAATGCCACGTGACATTTTAGCATTTCAGATTATCATACAGAGAACTTGTAAGTGCAGCCTAGCCTACTGTGCTTCAGTAACACAGTATAGATCATCAGAACACATCTGAAATTTTGATTCAAGGTTGAAAAGAAAGCCTGGAAAACAAGCTCAGATCAGAAAGATGCCTCTGCCTGAATTTAACCTTTTCCTTGAATTCAGTCAACCTAATTCCAGTGAGTAAACATGGACAGTGTCTAGTGTGGGTTGTTTATTTCTTTTTTGTATATGCCAGTGAATTTATCAAGGACTTACCAACTCATCAAAGATATCCCTTTGGTGCACATGAATAGTAATCAAAGTCTCATATTTCACTCGCTCCATGGAGCTCAGGTCCTTTGTGGTGATGTCAATCAGTGTGTTTAGTAGTTCCAAGAAAGACTGATTGGTTTTCTGCATGATTTTTTTATCAAACTTGGCATTTCTAAGGGCTTCTTCTGAATCTCGGGTCCATATCATTTGAATTCCTAATAATCCAACCTTATGGGAAGTTTAATAAGGTATTTAATAAGACATATTTACATATTGCATTATAAGGTAGACACAGCATAATGAATAATTATAATTATTATGTAAATGTAGTGACCAGTACATCATTTTAATCATTTTTAAAACCCATGGAAACTCTATTTGTATTACTTACCTGGCAATTAAATATAAAATGCCCTATGATGTCACTGTAAGTTTTATCATAATTTTAAATCAGCTATCTTTAACTCATATTTCTCTCTAGTATAGATTTTAAGTTATTTGCAGGTAAAAAGTATGTCTTAAACTGACTTTTCCCAAACTACCACAATGCTTATACATAAAAGATATTCATGGAGCTGGGAAGGTGGCTCAGTGGTAGAGTACTTGCCTCACATGCATGAGGCCCTGGGTTCAATTCCTCAGCACCACGTAAACAGAAAAAGCTGGAAGTGGCACTGTGGTTCAAGTGGGAGAGTGCTAGCCTTGAGCTGAAGAACTGAGGGACAGTGCCCAGGCCCAGAGTTCAAGCCTCAGGACTGACAAAAAAAATATTAAAAAAAGATATTCACAATATCTTTACTGATCAAAAAGACTAAGAAAACACTGTTCCCTGTTAGTTTGGGTGTTCCCTGTTAGTGTGTGTGTGTGTGTGTGTGTGTGTGTGTGTGTGTGTGTGTCTGTGTGTGTTTGTGTGTGTGTGTGTGTGTGTCTGTGTGTGTGTGTGTGTGTGTGTGTGTGTTTGAGTGGGGAGGTGTTTGGTACCAGTTCTGGGGCTTGAAATCAGGGCCCGAGATTCTTTTTCTCAATGTTAGTGTTCTACCACTTGAATCACAAAGTTTTTTCTGAGTAGTTTATTGGAGATAAGAGTCTCATGGACTTTCCTGCCCAGGTTGGCTTTGAACTGCGATCGATCCTCAGATCTCAGCCTCCAGAGTAGCTAGTATGAGCCACCAGTGCCCAGCTTGTTCCCTGTCTTAAGTTGGAAAAAATAGGTCAAGTTCTGGACAACACAAATGAATAGTTAAGCCTATATGTAATATATGTGTGTGTTTATCCAAATAATTCTAATTGAAGTCTTTTAAGTTTATCCATATTTAATAAATTATGAAAATTGTAAAATTAGTCCAGAGTTAAATTAGGCCATCGTGAAGTTCACCAGAGGTGATATCTGAGATTTAAGATGACTATTTTATAGAAAATACTTTCCAATTTCAAAACACTGACCTGAGCAGGGAAAGAAGAGAGAAATTCAATCAACTGGAAACCCATTTCTTGAATATTCGCAGCTGCCTGCCGAATCACTCGGTGTAATGAAGCCTGGGACTCCTCTAAGAGATTATTGAGCCACACTTCCACATTGCCCTCGGCCATGACAGGTTTTTCCAAGTCTATCGTCTCACCCTCTCGTGAGGAAACTGACAAGATTCGGTCGTAGATCTGTGATAGAAGATAAGAGGGGAAAAAAATCTGTATTCAGAACTTTTTAAGGAAAGTTAAAGTACCGATCATAAAATAAAAGGCAATACTTGATGCAAAGTGATTTTCAAAACATCAAAAGTTAGCCATGAAATCTATAATGGAGTCACAAACAATACATAGCCTAAGGGAGAAAATCTGTTCTCTAAAAAAATAAATAATAAATGGATAAAGAAAAATTTTAAAAATAGAAATGGTAGCTGGATACCGGTGGCTTATGCCTGTAATCCTAGCTACTCAGGAGGATGAGATCTGAGGATTGTGGTTCAAAGCCAGCCTGGACAGGAAACTCCATGAGACTTTAATAAACTACTCAAAAAAGCCAGAAGTCGCACTGTGGTAGAGCTATCACCTTGAGCAAAAGAAGTTCAGGGACAGCGCCCAGGCCCAGAGTTCAAGCCCAGCACTGCCCACCCCCAAAAAATGAAATGAGCCTATATCCAACACAGAATTAGCCAGTTGACATTAAAACAACCTGGTCAATCCAGTTGAGGAGGACAAAGCAATTACAAAGTTATTCCAGCTCTGTGCCAAATTAGAGCCTGATCTCACAGCCAATGTTTTCTCATCAAATACACTCCCTGCCTGGCCATTGCATTCAGCCTCTATGCAGAAAGGCATGAGGAGAAGGACATAGTATTTCAAGTAACAAGACTCAGGTTCTACTGGTTCTCTTTCATGCAGTGCTGAGAATACATTTCTTGCTCCCATCTGGTCATTAAAAATCACACATGTCCTGCTTCCCTACCAGCCTCACACTGTTTGCAGAAATTCAATAAAAATAACACAACTTATTAAATAAATATGAATGTTTGTTTCTGCTATTTGATGAAAAGGAATCTTTTTTCTTTGGGGCTCAAACTTAGTACTGTGCTGATAAAGTCTTCCTCAGTTCTAGACAGAAGTGCTTAGCAAGAAGCTGATGGATCTTAAGTTTCAGGGCTTCTCACCAACATGGATACTTTCCATGTTTTTTAACAATGTTAATCTCTATAATTTTGTAAGGTTCAAGACTCACAAAACCAAGATCTCCCCTTCTCCTACCTGGTTCTTGTAATCATATGGTAAGAATAGGAAAGACAAAAGCCTGTCACCCCATCATAAGTGAAAGTTTCCTGATAGGCCTCCCTATCTGACTTGTGCTGAATTTAAGCAGCATCATAATTATTCACATCCAAAATTGTTAGCGATTTAACTGCCAAATTTCAATGTCACACTGCTTAAAAATAACTTCAGTGTTGAGTATGATCCATTCTTTCTTAAAACGTCAGGACAAGCTTTATTCTTGCACATTGGTAGGTGTTCAACCACAATGACTAGTTCTTTTTTTTTTTTTTTTGGTCAATCATGGGGCTTGAACTCTGGGCCTGGGCGCTGTCCCTCATCTCTTCAGCTCAAGGCTAGCGCTCCACCACTAGAGCCACTGCACCACTTCTGGTTTTCTGAGCGGTTAATTGGAGATAAGAGTCTCATAGACTTTCCTGCTGGCTTTGAACCACGATCCTCAGATCTCAGCCTTCTGAGTAGCTAGGATTACAGATGTGAGCCACCAGCGTCTGGCTTTTAAAGACTAGTTCTTAACTGCTTAGAATGCAGTAGCTCTGCCACTGCACTACCTGCACTCCAGACACTCCATTTGTTTACCTCGCTGTCTCTTCTACCAGACCACGAGTCCCTGCGCCTGTGTATTCCCATTAACAAACACAATATCTGGCATGTAGTAGTTACTCTATAAACTAAATTGCATGCAATCATGGATAAATTGATGTTACTAAGGGTTTATATGAGGTACTAGGTAACTGAATACAATGCTAGAAGAGACGGGTCACTTTACTAAGGATTTGGGTAAAAGAATAGAGCAAACAAAATCCAGCTATAAGATTATTCTCCCAGTTGAATGACTTCCTTTCCATCCCATACAACCTCACGGTATTAAAAACACAGTAGTAGTATGAATCAAAATAAAATAAAATAATGAAGGTGATTTAAGAATGCATGCCAAAAACTTCTGAAGCCTGACAAAAGCAATTAATCCCTACAGAAATTCTGTTTCGGGTACAACATTGTAAGCAGTTGATTTGTCTTATTAACTTTCTAAGTAGTTAACTGGCTTATAAATTCATGGATTCCACACACCATGCAATCTTGATCCCATTCAAACTATTATTGACATTCAAATGTACACCTTGGATGACGAGACCATATGGTTCTGAAGGTAAAGTTAGCCCCCAAAGTTTGTTTTAGTCAGGATCCCAGCAGTAAGGACAATGAAGTAATCGTTTATAAATAGAGCATTGGAGTAGCTTCAAGATGGTAGCCAACAATTCAAATGGGGCAGACCTTGTCGTGAAACTTGACAGTTTTAATGTTGTCAAATACATTCAGCAAATGAGCCTGGATTGTGTGGGAGTCCGAAGCCTGCCCCAAAATCTCCAGAAGAGCAGGATCTGAGACAAAGAAGAACCGAGGAAAGCAAACTCGTTTTTTCTCCAAGTACCTAAACAGGGAAGAAAAGAATACATGTTTGTAAATAACACAAAGCTGACCTTTCTCAAAATTAATAAACCTGGATGAAAGGAGAAATTGTGCAACAATCTGATTTTCCCACATGATTTGATGCCTTTGGTTCATCAGGAATTTTGTCAAACCTAACATATAAAACATCTTGTACTGCTTTTGTAGAGAACACAATAAAATAGACACAGAGTGTTTGGTGTGATCTTTATATAGCAAAATCCCACATAATATCGAAAACATCTTAAAAGAAAGTTGAATAAGCACATCATTGGAACAGAGGTGAAATCCAAAGATGGATGAACCTCATAAGGGTCCCTGACTCCCAGGAGCTACCACAAGGCAGAGCACATACCTGCCACTGAGCTGCTCCCAGTGGACTAGTGTACATTTGCTTGATGCTAAAGCAGTCCCTCGGGCTGCAATGATTTTCCTATTTATACCTCTCCATCTTCACTTTATGATATATTTTGTCCTCATTTTCATGGCCATATTTTTTAGGTGTGAGGGATTTTTTTCATTGTTTGAATTTTAATTTAAACCTTCTTTGTGTTGTCTTTACATTCTATTTTGTTTCCTAAACTTTATTGTTCTCTTTTCGTTTGCTTTGCTCTCGTGTTTTGGAACAGGCTGTCATCCTCTTGTCAGGACAAAGCAATTCTCCTGCCTCAGCCTGCCAAGGGGCTGAAGCTACAGGTGCACCATTCCAGCCTTACAGTGATTGTCATTATCATAGCTTTCTGAAATTTTACTGGTGGTTTTAAATTTGGGGGGTGTCTCACATTTCTATGTTTTCTTGTTATTAGTATTACTAATCATCCCAATATCATAGCAGAATTCTCATCCTAGGAACATGCTTTTTCCTAAGGGACTCAGTGCATCAGAAACCAGAGCTTGATGGGAACCTCTCCACACACATGTGAGGATGGGCAAGGGTCTAGAATCGAATTCTGGCCTCGTGTGGCTGAGCAGCCTGCACAGGCTGGGGCAAAAGCTAAATTCTTCAAGAAAAAAAAAAGGGGGGCTTTTTCCCAAAAAAGAAGGCAAAGGAAAAAAAGGAGACGTAAGGGAAAACTCATACTAAGTAAGGAATTTGTAGAAGAAATGGCCATGTCTGCTCTCATGATGGTGAATGAGCCTTGGTAGGGGTCGTGGGGAGCTATAAATAATCCTCTAACTCTCAGCCATGAGGCACAGGAAACCCTCATCACTAGCTCCTGTGGCAGGTGCATCTATTTATTTTGTAAAAAAAAAAAAAATTGCAGGCTGTCCTCAAAACAGAGAGGAGACGGGATTAAAAAGCAGAGACCGACCAAGGAGTATTCTCTTCTACCTCTTGTTTTCTTACTCTTACTTTTGTGCTACAAAGTTTAATTTGGTCGTAGGTTTTTCTTTTCTTAGTTTTATTTCTTTAAAAATCGCAATGTTGTATAACTTTGATTTTTATTCTTAATAACTTCCCTGTGAAGTTGTATTCCTTATTTCTTATCCTCCTTGAAGCAGTCTGCTCTGAGTCCTAGGAAGCGGGGAGTGTTTTTATCCAGGCAGACCAGGCTGGGAGGAGACATGTAGGAATACCATCTCTATGATGAGAAAAGGAAACCTTGAACAAGTTTGCACTTAACTTCCACATGAATTATGATTGAGCAGCATGAAAATGCTGCCCGTCTATGCTGGTTTTCAATAGCATGGGAGAGTATACTTTTTATGTAAATGAGAGAAGTCAAGTGTTTACACTGGACTTACATGAAACCTCTGTTAACAATCAAAAGACAAAAAAAGAAGGAAGAGCAAGAAGAGGAGGAGGAGGAGGAAGAAGAAGACAATTTTACAGTAGACTGTCTCTGAAGAGTTATAGAACAGTGCAAAAATGTCAAGTGATATAGTAAGATATGTGCATAGTAAGAAGAATAAAGCAATAGAAAGATAGAGGTGTATGTCTGTGTGCATGCAGGCATGCATGTGTTTGTGTCTGTCTGTCTGTCTGTCGGTCTGTCTGTCTGTCTGTCTATGGCAGCAGATGAGGGATGAGGAAGAGAGGGATGTGCAGCCATCCTTGCTGTGGACAGGCTATGGATGATCCCTCAGCAAGGTTTTCAGTGGTGACTGAACCCGCACGCTCCCCAGTGATTCCTGCCCATCGGTCCTCCATCTGGAACCTAGGAGCATGAATCTCCAATGGTCCCTACAACACAGTTGGCTATGCTAAGTAAACATCATGGTTTTAAAAAATGGCACAGCATGAAACATTAAAAACAAACTTTTTGCCACATGACCTTCACTATATTATTTGACTTAATATGGTAAGCTGATCAAAATCACTAATCCTTCAGAGTCTATTTTTCTTTAAAAAATGTATTTTGGGGGCTGGGAAGTTGGCTCAGTGGCACAGCACTTGCCTTGCATGCATGAGGCCCTGGGTTCAATTCCTCAGCACCACATAAGCAAAAAGAAAAAAGCTGAAGTGGCACTGTGGCTCAAGTGGTAGAGCGCTAGCTTTGAGCTGAAGAGCTGAGGGACAGCACTCAGGCCCAGAGTTCAGGCCCCACGATGGGACCAAAAAAAAACTGTATTTTGGACCACTTCCTTATAAGAGTACAAATATAGTTAAGCATTCAGTGAGAATGTAAGGCTTGGAAGGCTCAATTTTATCTCTAAAAGCCCTTTACACAGGAAGTAAACCTTAGTAAATAAGACAAATTGGGCAAATGCTAACAATTCTCTCTGCTTCCCCTGTTGTCTCCAGGACCCCAAGGCCTTTCAAGTGAACTTACCCAGTAAGGGATTTCTGGCATATCTCCAGTTGCTCCAACAAGTGTGGTAAAAGCTGTCCCATGGTTTCATCTCCGACACAACACTGAACCACAGTTGGCATCTCATGTGCCCGAGTCATGATCTTCACCCAAGATTTGTCTATATTGGAAAAGCGCTTGGCTTCCTAAGAGAAAACAAAGCAACAGCACATCTGGACCTCTCTGCCCTCTTGGGAGCAAAACACTCTTAAATCACTAGCTGAGGCCAGAGGCCTATCCAAGCCAGATTTCCATGCTATAGATGCATGATCCGCACATGCTCTATCCTTCCTGGGTCTTCTGTAGCATATCATCCCCTTTTAAGTGACAATCTCTAGCTCAACCCTGTCACTGCTGTTGTGTTAAGTAAAAACAGGAAACAGATATAACAAGGATAATTCAGGAGGAAATGACATTTCCCATTGTTTTCAAGGAGTATCTCTAAATGGGGTGAATTTTCTATTTTCAAAGTTTTTACCCTGACCACAATATTGTTGCTGATTGGCAAAAAAAAATATTAATAATAACATTGGCATAAAATAAATTGTAGTAATAACTAATATTGCAAAAAATTATTTTTTCTAGAAAAGTGGAAAATTTACATATAATTTACATATAATTTTGAAAGGATATGAATAACACTTTTTCTTTAAAATTTTATTTGTATTAAAAAGTATATATATATATTTTATATATATGTATATATAACCAGATATGAGAGCAAGAAGCTCCACTTTGATCCTTAAATAGTCCATGTGGAAGTTTCCATTAAGCCCAATATTCTTCTACCAAGAAGAAAAGCATGTACAAATATACAAGCAAAAATGAATAAATACTAAAAAAAATTACTGTGTGAATACTGCTGGCCAAAAAATGAGTGTGGTTTACAAATGATTAAGAGATCTGCCTACTTCAGTTAAACTTCAAACTAACCAAAGGGAAAGCTATGAGGACTAAAATAAGAGAACATTCATGCAGCGTAATCATGCCCCCTAACTCAAAGAGATTGCTCAAATGTTATAATTTAACAAACAACTTGTAGTAATTGAATAAGAGTTCTTGAGATGTGTTTAAAATCTCAAAATATGCCCATATATACCTAACAAGATAATTACAATTTGATGAGAAAAATATAGCCAGTATCTTGAGAAAAAGGCCTTTGTGTGTTAGAACATTTTCCTGCAGCTTTCCTCCACCCTTTAATTTTACAGTACAGATATAATTGCGCATACATTATTTTAAAATTTCAGTAATAAAAGAAGAAATTATCCAACCATTGTCAAGATAACTATGCCATAATTCCACACTGTTCCCAATTCTACCTTCAAATTATCTGCTGAAGCATATCAATTACACAGGAATTCGTCCTTTTGTTTCTTTAAGCTCTGGATTCCTTACCAAACATTGCAGTTTTATAGCAGTCTTACTCTTTGATAGTCACCTTTTCCTTCCCACAATTCCTTTGAATACTAAAAGAATGAGCTTCAAAAATAAAATGACGAGGGGAGAGGCTTTCCGCTTTCTTAAAGAGGCGATGTTCCTAGATTTTTTTTCTAATTGGAGAATCTGATGAAATCATAAACAAAATCCCAAACCTTGGGCAGCTGCTTGGCAATGTCTCCTCCCACAAAGACAGCTTCTAGATAAATCCACAAGTTTTGCACAGTCATCCAGTTCTCAATGATGTCTGTGGCGTTGGAAAGGTACTGCACCCATTTCTGAATCTGAGCTTTGAACGGCATATTGTACCTAAAATTTTAAAAATGTGTTCAGTATGCTGTATTGGTTGTATTAGTGTTGTTAGCAAATTTAAAATTCTTTTTTTAACTTGATTTTTTTTCTTAGTGTCAGGTGGGGGATACATGTAATCCCACCCACTGAGAGGAGCAGACAGGAAGATCCTATTCCAACACCCACCCCAAGACAGAAAACAAGACTCTATCCAAAACAAATACACAAATAAGGTTTAAGGGGGGGGGGGGCTTAAAGAGTGAGTCAGGTGGTAGTGTCCATCTATTAAGTGCAAGGACCTGAATTCAACTCTAGTACTAACAAAATGATGATGATGATGATGATGATGATAGGTATTATTTTTAATCTGCTTCTTACAACTTCAATTACATCGCTCTCTTTTGAAGGAATGTTAGTTATCAAGTGATACATTTTATCGCATTATCTTAGTCTAGATAATTTTTATTTTGAACTAGATCACGAAGAATAGTAAAAGACTCCTAATCTAAAGAACAAATCAGGCATGAGATTCAATTCAACCCAGCCCTGGAAGCACTGGCCAAGAAAATCATACTCTCTCTAAAGCCTTTCTTGTCTATTTCATGAAGTCTCTAGTTTTCCACAAAATATAAAGCAATTAGAGGGTCACTGATGGGAATTAGACAACAAACGCCAGTTTCCACTATGATAATAACACCAGAACTTCGTTAGCCTCTTCTGGATCTCTTTCTAACTTCCAGTTACCTGTGTCTAATCCATTTATGTCTCTATGTGCCTGCATAAAACCTTATGCACGTACATGTGTACACTCCAATGACCACTTTGCTGCCTCTCCTATCGTTAGTCTGTCTTCCCTTTTGGATCTTTGAGTCAGAGCTTCTAGAGGCCTCCCAATGTCATTTTTCTCTTTTGATGAATACAGAGCCTCACTTCTAGGTAGGCTCCTAGCGACCCAACTAAAACACAGTGTTTCCACGCCCCCTTGGTCACCGTGTGCAGTCATAGGCCTGAGCTGCACACCATTAGTTCCTAGCCTTTCGCTGTCCATTTGGGAAGCATCCAAATCAACTGATGCTCCCCTGGCCACCCAGGCACGGAGATGTCTAAAAGTTCCCTAGGCGAACCTGGTGTGTGTGAAGGTGGAGAAGCCTGAGGTATGAGCGACTGTATTGGATAAAAGTGGTGATGTAGAGAATGAGGTCAGAAGAATGAGTCAGACAAAGCTTAGGCCCCTGATCATAAAGTGGAATCCATCTTTAATCTTGAACCACCTACCCTGAGACTTCTTTTACAACAGAAGGTTACAAACTTCTATCTTTTATGAGTAATTTTGTAGGCGGTGCTTCTGTTGCTAAAGAACAATTTTATTCCAAAATAATTGTACAGCAAACCTTGCCTTGTTTTGTAGATGTATTGCATGTAACTTTGACCAAGCAGGAAATCATAATTCTTTTTCAATCTCAGTAGAGATTTAAAAGACAAAAATGTTCAATTCCTACATGCACATTAGACAGGCTCAGTGGATGAGAAGCAATCAGTTAGTATGACATTATCATCAGTGCTGCTTAAATCAGTGTATGGCCTGATGAGTGCTCCTCTGCTCTCAATTTTGTGAGAACACGCCTCCCAAGGAACAAATGGTGCCTGGAAGACAAATCAACAGTGTATATGCTTAATTTAAGTGAGAAAGTAAAGAGTTTAGATCTGTTGAAGGTAGAGTGTCTTGAGCTGATGTTGGGTGGTGTGCAGCAAAAATGAACCAAGTATCTGCAATGTAGTGTTGAACTCTATGTAGCAGCATCTCGTTGGACTCTAGCCATACCAAAGACCTACTACACAGCCTCACAGCAGTGGACGCTCATCTTTCTTACCCCTTTACTGATCTCTCAAGCCCTATAGAATAGGAAATCTACTCAAAGTCTTCTCAAATATTAGTCATAGGAACAAAAATTTTAATTTCTGTCTTCTTAATGTAATTGCATTAATATTCCACACATTTCTGCAGTTTGTGTTGCCATTGTTCATTTTTCTCAGTGGAGTAAGCTGGATGTGGTAACACATGTCTGGAATCCCAGTTACAATAGGAAACATAAATTAGGTGGATCACAAGCATGGTCCACACCCAGACAGAAAGTAAGACTTCATTTCAAAAATAACCAGGGCGAAAAGAGTTAAATGTGTGGCTCAGTAATACTGCCACAAAGGAAAAAGAAAGAAGGAAGGAAAGAAGGAAGGGAGGAAGGGAGGAAGGGAGGGAGGGAGGGAGGGAGGGAGGAAGGGAGGAAGGAAGGAAGGGAGGAAGGGAGGGAGGGAGGGAGGGAGGGAGGAAGGGATGGAGGGAGGGAGGGAGGGAGGGAGAAAGGGAGGAAGGAAGGAAGGAACGGAGGGAGGGAGGGAGGGAGGGAGGGAGGGAGGGAGGGAGGGAGGGCAGGCATATTAAAAGGAATGAAGTAGATTAAAGGCAGAATTGATATCTCAATGTTGTTCACATGTTACACAATTACCATATTTGAAATTTTAGTGAACAGCAACTACTTTTGGAAAGAGCACAGGGAATCCCATTGCTTAAGTGCAAGTTAATGAATATAATTTCCATGTCCAAAATGTGGCAGGTTAGCTGAGACTACCATCAAATGGCCAGATAGACGTGAGAGACTCCATCCATCTCTGTAGGAATTACATTCAAAGGTCTCTATTCAATGCACCATCTCACTGAAATGTGGACACAACAAAGAGCTGACAAGAAGGTTTCCCAAGTGGAATGGAATATTCTGGAATGCAGAACGTTGCTCCCACTGGAACGTGGAGCTGTGCTGCCGGCCATGGCAAGGCTGGTCAGCAGCAAAGCTGCACCGCTCAGTGAGATCCAAGTGGCTGATTACATGCAGTGTGACTGCTCCCAAGTCTCAAGGACACATCCCATCCCCAATGAGAGGATCGTGAAACAGAACCAGTGTGAAGCGTGCTGTGCCAAAGGCTGCCAACTCTGAGCAGCACTGAAGGGAGCACTGCAATGAATTTGTAGTCACTTCCCTCGAAATGTTTCCTAAGGTTCTCAAACGTAAGGAAAAAAGGACACGCGGCTCGCTTACCTGTTGCTCAAGAGAGAGCCCAGCAGCATCAGGCTGTCCTCCATGCTGGCGATGATTTCCGCGGTACTGTCCCCTCGCAGGAGCAGTTCTCCACGGGTTTTAAAGCTGCCAAACGTGAACGTTTTGTTGTCCCATTCACTGACCACTTGCTTCAGCTTCTGTTCAATGTCTCTTTCCTTCACTGCGCTGATGCAGATGTCCTGTCAACATGCAAGCTCTCATTCTACCCCATGAAAGTGGTAGTAAGAGTCTAGGTTGGATAGAGATCCCGTATTCACTATTTGCTCCATACACTTCTAAAGCATGTGTGTTTCCAGCTGTCAGGTACAATGGAACAAAGAGTGTGTGTGTGTGTGTGTGTGTGTGTGTGTGTGTGTGTGGTGTATGTGTGTGTAGATACATGGACATATACATGACTCCCCAGAGCATCTGTGTATACAAGTTTCCACCCAACTATATCAAAAAGAGGACAGAAAAGATACAACCACCTTCTCAATCTTGAACTTCAATTACTCAAAAAGTCACTGCTCCTGTTACCTCTAGTCAATGAATGCTACATGAGAGAGAGAAAGCAGGAAAAACCTGATTTCTTCCCATCCCTTGTCACTCTCCCAGTCTCCTCTAGAGATTCCTCTTTCCCCAGACCATCAGTCCAGCTCTCTCTTTGCCTCCTCGCTTCTCACACCTCCTTCCCTTTCTGAGTGAGTTTATCCTAGTGGATCCTGACGAGATCCACTTCCGTTCAGCTATTGCCCCTTCTTGGATGTTTAGACCTGGAAAATGCTCAGCACCTGCCCCAAATCAAGACCACAATCTGGGAAACTTGCCATTCCCCCTGAGGCCCAGACACGACCACCGCTGTCTGTAAAATGTATAATCAGCCTTCCAGACTTCTCGCCAAGAAATTCACGGTTCATTCTCAGCCCCTGCCTGTGCTTTCCACATTCCTTCCATCAAGAAAGTCTGCCTCCTTTCACCTCCTGAACATTCCTTGGATCTCTTTTTCCCCTTCATTCATTCATTCATTCCCGCCCCTCTTCCAACAAACCATTATCTCTCAGACTACTCATGATTCCCTGTGGGTCTCATTATCCTCCTCTTGTCCTCGCCCACTTCTTCTCATACATGCCTACCAGTGTGATCTTTACAAATGCAAACCTACATGTGTCTTTGCTTATGGCTAGCCTTTGCTCTCAAGACCAAAACTGGTAATACGTACTAAGTGCACTACACTTCCCCGGCCTCCCCCGCCTCCCCTCCTTCCTCCTCCACACACCAGCACACCTGCTATGCCTCACACATGGTGCGCTCTCCATCTGGAATGTTCTCTGCCATTTCAAAGTCAATCATTGTCCCCGTGCCCCACAGCCATATTCCCCTAACCTAGCCAGACTTGTAGATGCACCCCAGCTTTCCTACTCATGCACCCCCAACTGTCCCCGCCTGAATCATCCCCAGATAGGACAAAATCTTTTATCACAGCATTCTTTTTCTTCGATGTTCTCTGCTACAAGCTCAAAACTATACTTTCATTTACAATGATTAATTATACTCATCATTCAATGATGTGTGAGTGCATAAATGTATCTTTTTTGTTCCCAGAAGAGAATTTATCCACAGCAAGCATTCGATAAACCAGCTGAAGAACGAATGACTGCTGCAGAAAGTCTTCGATTGCCAAGCATGGTTTACTCCCTAATAAAGGGATGCTATAAAAATCCATCTCCTGTCACCATCCGATAGCCCACCACATCACACTCCATCAACTCTACCTCGATTTCTTCTTTGTATTTCAGAAGAGGTGCCTCCATGATATTTCTTAATTTAAAGGTTTCGCTCCCCACATCTAGATGGTGGCCAGTGAGGGCCGCGATTCTCTCCCAGTGCCTCTCCACCATGGCCTTACTGGCCATATACTCCAGCAGAGGGCAGCACTCGCTGAAGTCATCGATGGTCTTCTTCAGGTCCAGAAAAGCCTGCCAGTCCTTCAGTGCCCGGGGCAGCTTCCGACACCTGTGAAGAGGAACCCACAAAGGACACCTAGATAGGAGCCCAGGTATCTGGGGTCTAAGACTGTCCAGGCATCTCAGGCCTACGATTGTAAGCTGGCATTCTGTCAAGAACAGTCTTTTCAAACACCTGTCTCATTTTGAAATCTTATGACATAGAGACTATCTGTTAATATCATTTACTGTATATATCACAGGATATTGTTCCTCCAAATCAGGAGAGATGTGCCCAGTCAGTCCTTCATAACAATTACCTAGGAAAAGGTGTTGTCTTATTTCACTTTGTTTTGGCAGTACTAAGATACTTAGTAGGCAGTTATTCCACCACTTGCTTCGTGTTTCCAGCCCTAGGAGCATTATTGTAAAGGAGCAGAGGTGCCTTGTCATTTATTTCAACTCTACATACACATTTTGAGACCTTACCAAGACAAAGCACACTGTGTGGCACACTGTCAGTTAATAAACACACAATGTCTCATTTTCCCTAGATCCAGGTTATCAGACAATGTTGGAAAATCATAAGGTCGAAAGTGTTTCGGTATTTTTCTTAACCATAGGGTTCTGACTTTTACTCTGTGAAATTGTCTAACATAAACTTCAAATGTTTGATAGGTGAGACACAAATCAAAAGGCCTGACAAGATTGGCCCAGTTTAAATGACATGTTAAATAGAATACAGAGTGAGGTCAACTAACAACCATGTGGCAAAACGTGCTCTCCAGACAAGTGCTTTCCAAAGACATGCCTAAAATCTGGGATAAAAAGAGAACTTGGCAGCCTATCAAAGATAAAGCATGAGAAAAATCCCCTAACACTGGATGTGCTAAACATTGGGCTTCTCACCTGTTCTGGAATTCTAAGAGTTCGTTGTTGATTTTTTCAATATTCACTTCTGACCATAGAATATCTTGGTAACTATTGACAGTTTCTATGACACTGTTGTACAAACTGTATATTTTCTGTAGAAGACTTAGCTGTTTTTTTATCTCAAGAAGCTGAGGGTACTGAGTAACTGGCAGACCAAAAAGTTCTTCTCCTCCACTGTAGGTGATGTATTTGCGATAGATGTTATCAAACTGATTCTAATAAAAAACACACCGGAGCAATTAATATATAAATACACATGGAAGAAAAAGAAAAGACCCACAAATAAACAAGTAAGCATGAACTCCCATCACATTTAAATAAGAAATAAGTAATCATAGACACTACTTCTAATGATAACTACACTGAATCATAATTTTTACAATGAAAGTATATCTGCTATCTTACAAAAGTCTTTTATGTCTCATTGCTAAATCAGGGATGTTGAAAACACAATAGATATCTCCATTGTTTAGGAACAAAAACAGTTACCTGAAACATGGTTAGTCTATCACTGGCTTCCTGAGGTTTCAAGCTGCCAACCATTGGGCCATTCTGAAACAGATTTAAATAAACTTAAAACAAAATGAAGAATAAATTTTAGTAACTTAGCCTGGTGGTGGTTCACGCCTGTAATCCTAGCTACTCAGAAGGCTGAGATCTGAGGATCGCGGTTCAAAGCCAGCCCGGGCAGGAAAGTCCGTGAGACTCTTATCTCCAATAAACCATGAAAACTGGAAGTGGCGCTGTGGCTCAAGCGGTAGAGCGGTTGCCTTGAGCTGAATTGCTAAGGGATAGTGCGCAGGCCCAGAGTTAAAGCCCCATGACTGACAAAAAAAAAAATTTCAGTAACTTACAGGATTTATGTATCAAAGTTAGCATTAATATGCCACAAACAAAATCAGAAGGGACTGAGAAACTGATTTGCTTGGCCATATGTTTCCAGTCTAATAAAGTCAAGTTAATACTACAGCCCCCATAACTTAAGAAATCTTGACTATTTAAAATACTGATTATCTACCTCTTTGGTGATACCAGAATATACCAGATACAGTATTGGATGTCTTTTTTCTGGAGAAAGTACATATTGAAAATATTGAAGAAAAATATTAACACCATTAGTTCATAGATTTCACCAGTATAAAACCTATTTATAAAATTAGCCACAATCTCAACACGGTTTTCTTCTATTATGACAACATAAATATATGGTTTCTGTATTCCTTCATCCATTAAGTGATTATACAGACTGAATCTCCTAGCTTTATTCCTTTTGTGATTTGATATGTTTGTAATAGTTTTAAAACCTATTTCAAGAAGCTGAAGGTACTGGACTGAGTGACCAATGGACATAAGAGCCCTGTCCTCCATTCTTGTAATTAGCATATTATAATTGGCTGGAAACCAAGCTCATTATATAACACACTTCCATTGGAAGACTGCACTAAAGCCCCTATAAATGGTTCAAATGGGAGCCCAGTGTCATCTGTTTTGCTCATCATTTTCTTGGGCATGAAGGACACTGCTTGACACATATCTGACAATGTATCCTTTGTACAACTAAGGAATAGTATGGGAGAAAGCAAAACTATTTATATTTGAATAATACTTAGCTGCACATATTTGAAAAGGTACTAAACAACTTCAGTAAGAGACCAGTGATACAGTATGAACAGCATGCTCACATTGGCCTGAAATTATTCAGGATGAACTAGTTGCTGAGTGAAAATAAAATGTCCATGCCTACAGATTTCCCCAGGAATTTGACACAGCATTCTAAACAGTGTGTTCTGTTCACATTTTCCTGGAAACACACATGGAAAAAGCCAGAGTCATACCAAGTCATAGTTCACATAAAACTGTTGACAGTCCTGTAGAAAGACCTCCACCGTGCTAATCAGCTCCTTCCTGAAAGAGGGCTGCAGGGAGACTAACTCATTCTGGACTTCACTGGCCCGGGCAAGCAGCTTCTCCCAGGCATAGCGCAGAGCATCAACTTTGTCCATCTCTTCCTTTACTACCAGAAGTCCATATTTGTTAAGTAGAGCATATGATTCCTGCACAAAAGAGGGAAAACTTAATTTCTGCAAGTCAGACACATATATCCACAAGCAGTTGGGCTGGGCCTGAGGATGAAATAAGCTGCCACCCTCACAAAGTCACCTGACCTCTCCTTCTATTTCCTGACTACAAGAGCTTGCATGGGTAAAAAATCCATTCAGCTCTGGTTTCTTCCTCTACAAAATGGAACAACTCTCTAGCTGTTTCCTGGGATCTTTGGGAGCGCCTGAGAAAATGCAACGTTAGATACATTTTCCAAATTATAAGACATGACGGAAATAGAAGCTACCTGTACCTGTGCCCCCAAATTATAACCTGATTCCTGTGTGGGAAGGGAGGTGCAGTGAAGACAGGATGAGTTGGGACATGAAGGGGCATTAAGGATCTTAGCAGCCCTTCCAGGTCCTGTTTACCAGTGAGGGATCCCTTCCCCCACTGGTTTCTCCCTGGGAAACCTGTCTCCATCTGAATGGACCCTTCTCACAGTGACAGCACTGTATTTCTGCACTAGGGGTACAAAGGGGAGTCTCCTCTGCCTGGAGGTGGGACCACCTGTGTGGCACACATCCTGCCTTGGAACCCCCACAGCATCAAGGTGAAGTCAGTCTGCAGCTGAGAACACATTCTCACTTCGCTTTCTCCTCCCAGTCTCATCCTGATTACGTCACCCCCCTGTGAGCAGCCCTTAATAATTCATGTGTCCTGAGGCCTTCTTCTTAGGGACCTGAACTGACCCAGAAAGGAAGAGAACCCGGCCCTGAAAGGCAGCCTGTGAAGACTAAGCATCGTTATTATTGGATTTATTGTTCTTAACTTTAGTATCCAATCTTAATTCCAGCACAGATCTGGTCAGTATGTCAGCCAATGCATCCAATGTACAGAACTGTCCCTCTAACGAACAACAGGTGCTGGTTTACCTCAATGGGCCCCACTTGAAAGTCAACGTGGATTTGCTGCTCCCTGATCTCTTTCAGTGCAGCCATTGCAATCCGTATATCATCTAGGTCTTTGATTGGACGATTCAGTTTCTTGCTGAACTCCTCAACAAGTGCAAATATGGTGTCCATCTCACTCCTGTACTTTTGGTTACAGTGGCGACCGACAACCATCATCCAACTTCTTATCTCAGCAGTGAGGGCAAATTTCAAGTCAGCTGTGAAAATCAGGTTCTGTTTAGAAAACTTGAACCAGTATGAAAAGACAATGCTGCTGTTCTCTCAAAGTAAATGCATTTTCACTTATACTCCTCTAAATCATAAAATATAAACTAGAAAAAAGAACCTTTTTCTAATCATTATATACTAATTCATTTTCTGAAGCTACTTTATACAATTAAAATTTATTTTAAAAGTGCTTAAAACTACATTTCAAAATCCTCAGAGTTAAGCCTCAAATATTTGTTGTTACTTAATAATCCAAGAGTAAATCTTAATTGTAAATGCAACAGATTCATCCCCCTTTCTCTGGAGCCCTTATTTTCAAGGTTTGACAGCAAAGTCTCCAAAATAGTGCAGAATAAATAATTATACAGAAGGGAATAAAAACAACTCTACAAATTGGTCTTAAAGCTTGAGGCTCATAAAAGAAGAGTCAATCTTTAAGACAGCTAATACCCTCTGGAATACTGATCTAGGAAGAGACACAACCATGCCGCCGAATTTATATAACTGTCTGAAAGACAACGAACCAACCTGTATACAAAGCAATGGCACCCACGCAGATGCACTCCGGCTCAGCATTAATTTCCTGCTCTAGGTTTTGGAAATAAAGAATCTGGGACTCAAATTCAGAAAGCAAAGGGTTTTGCATGATAAACGTCCTGATGGCTTCTTCTTTCTCCTTTTGCCAGATGTGATTATAGCATTTGAAGTGATCCATGGATGCAATAACTTCCTACAGTCCAAATAACATTAGATTTGTGGAGAAAAAGAAAAATCCGAAATGACATTATGATACGAGGAAGCCTTTTCCCACTGCAGGTGGTTGTCCTGGAGTTCTTTAGATGGTTCATTATTGGACATGGTTAAGCATGAGTTGGGAATGATGTCGAATTGGGTTATATACAATGGTGTGGACAGTAACTCAGGGACAGGATCCATGTCACAGTCCTATCCCTCACCAAAAAGAAAGTGAACAGTTCTTAGAAACTAGAAAACATCCTTGTGGACAAGGTCCTTTTGATCAGAGCTGGACCCAGGTCAAAAAGCACAGCTCAAGATTGTGCCATAAAATGTCATCAATCAACACTACTGAGGTGTTTTTCTCTTTTTCACTCACATGCTTTCTCACTGGCTGAACACACGGGAAACTGCAGTTGGAACCTGGTGGTGTGTTATCTAGGGACTCCTATACAGAGGGAGAAGGGTTGAGCTTGGATCTGGAGGGGAAGGGCCAGCCAAACATAGCCAGAATCGAACTCCAGTGGGACATTGCATGGAATCATATAAAAATGTATAAATCCTGGCTGGGCACTAGCTGCCTCATGCCTATAACCCCTAGATACTCAGAAGGCTGAGAACTGAGACTCAAGTTCCAGTGCCAGCCTAGGCAGACCAATCTGAAAGACTCATCTCCAATTAACCAGCAAAAAGCTGGAAGTGGAGCAGTGGCTCAAGTGATGAGGCTAGCTTTGAACAACAGGGGAAAAAAATACTAAGGGAAAGCACCTAGACCCTGTGATCAAGCCCAGTACTGGCACAAAAGAGAGAGAGAGAAAGCATTCAGCATAGGAGTTTAAGCCTACAGTTAGAAGAATGTTGGCCATGCTTCCAGGATTTGAGGCCTAGGAAAACAGCAGAAGACACTTTGAAAGAAAGGACTAGGAAATCACAGCAGGAAATGGGAACAAAGTCTGATTATAAAAGATTGAGACAGCAACACATTAGAAATTGTGAACAGTCTCTGGAATCCCCAGAGAATCACTGATGAGTCTCAAGTCAGGAGAGACAGATGCTGAACTCTGCACAGCACTGAAAAGCCCTTCACTAACAGCTGTACTTACCTATATTGCCACAGTATATTTAGTCCAACTTCTTCCCTTCATACCTGGATCTCCCTAATAGTAGCTGGCTATATTCAAAGGAATTAATAGATCTTACCACTGATTTATTTTTGTTTGTATTTTGTATGATTACTGAGGTACTTAAAAATATATATGGATACTTATTTAAAGATACTCTTCTTAATTCTATCATTCATTTTAGAGCCTAGAAGGAAGAGACTGGGTCATTATTTACAAAATTTCATAAACATTGTCCTTAGGCCAAAGTGAAATACAAGTATCTTCCATATAGTAAGAAAAGGAAATTAAATGTACATAAAGGCAAAGACATCAGTTCCCTCAGGAGCACATTAAAAATAAATACAATTTCTTCACACTGTTATAGAATATGTAGACATTCAGAGTGCTTTCAAACAAATCTAGCTTCCTTTGGAAAAACTAGGCAACAGAAATTATGTATTTGCTGAGCAACAACTATTCACGCAAAACTAAGAAACAATTAGAGTTGACAAGCTTTAATGCAATGTGAACATAGCCTTGTAATTAAAAAGTGATTTCAGCATCTTAAGTCTTTCTGACTACAAGAACAAGTTTGCCTAAACCAAAAAAGAAAAACTGAGGCAAAACAAAAACCATGTTGGAAGAAAAACTAACCTGAATTTACATCCATATCTAGTGCTTGTTTTCACAGTAATAATATTTTCCCCTCTGACTTTCACAAGGAAAAATATGTTTCCATTTCAGCTGTCTGACCACACAGACAAGCCATGTTCTATCTGACTTCTTGCAGGAGAATTGTAAAATCAGCCTGACTTGTGGGTTAAAACTTAACATATTTTTTAAAGTTAGATTCATCTATATTAAGAGAAGATCTAAGACATTAAACAGACTACAGTAGGAAATGGAATAACGCCTCTGTCCGTTGCCTTCTACCATGGAGAGGCCTCAGTGCATAAGTGTTTGCTGAGTACACACAAGATGCCTGGCATGCTCGCTATAAGCACCAGGGAAAGTGAGGGCTGCAGGCAGAACAAGTTCACTCAAGCACCTGCTGGGAAGGGAAGCGCCTGTCCAAAGGAATCTTGACCTACCTTTTTGGTGGAGTGGATGATGGTGCTAAGCACAGAGACTAATTTTACAATCTCTTTGTTGTCAGAAACATTCTTATAATAGTTTTTGATTTGCACTGGAATGGGTAAATTTATAGATGCTATCTCAACGGTATCTAAGCAAAAGAGAGAGAAAAGAAGTTTACATTAACAGTATATGGAAAGTTATTTTGCAAAGATTAGATTTCGGCTATGGCAAAGTAAGGATTCAGGAAATATTCTCCTCTATAAAAGCATATAAAAATGGTAGGAAAATGAACAGCGTCGACATTGATGGATTAAGCAAAGCTTACAATAAGCCACGAAGTGGTTGTTCAGCGGAACCACACTAGATCTCCATATCAGCAGAGGGTTTGTGTGCTGTAACCTCCTCTAGCCTTAGATGGCCACAGCAGCCTTGAAGACCAGCTGTCTCACCTCCTCTGTAGCCATGAAGACCAGCACCCCAGCCATCCCAGGGAGGCCAGGCTGGGCTTGGGGCTCCTCTGGGAGTAAGGGGGACAAGGGTTCCTTGGGATTGTCATCCATTAATCTACCTGCAAACACTCCAGAAAAGTTGCAACGAAAATTATCTTTAGCTTCCCTGATGGAGAAATTCACTAAAAGAGATAGACAGAGACAGACAGAGAGACAGGTGAAAGCTAAAGGAAAAGAGAAAGGGAAAGGGAGGGGAGGAGAGGAAGAAGGCAGAAAAAGGAAAGGGGAAGAAATCACTCAAGTCATATGCCAAAATAAAAGTTCACAATCATCAACACAATACAACTTCACGCTACTTGAGGCAGTAGTATTAGAAAGAGACATCCTGGAGAAAGAGGTCCAGAGGAAGCATTAGCAGCCCGGACCTTCTCCTGGGGCTCTAGAAACACAGATGTACAGAGTCTTAGGTGTGCTGGGAGACCCCACAGGGCCTGGGTTTCACTCGGGGGTGGGTCAAGACTCTCTACCATGTCAAGAAACACTCATCACAGTGATGATCTTGTGCTCTTTCAAAAATCCTTCTGGCTGTCCTAGTATCTTTGCTGGTCCTGGGACTTAAACTCAGGGCCTAGGTGTTGTCCCTTAGTTTTTTCACTCAAGGTTGATTCTCTAAACATTTATGTCACAGCTCCATTCCTGGATTATTGGTGGTCACTTGGAGATAAAAATCTCATGGTCTTTCCTGCCCAGTCTGGCTTCTAACTTGATCCTCAGACCTAAGCCTCCTAAGTAGCTAGTGATACAAGCAGCTGTGATCCTTAGATCTCAGCCTCCTGAGCAGTTAGGATGACAGGCGTGAGCCACCCAGCCCCCCAGTCTCATCTTCAGATTGGACCCAAATCACTGGTGCATCTGCTGTGATGGACAAAATAAATGCAGATGTGATGGTGGCAGAAAACTCAAACTATGCACACCTTCACACTCGGCCAGCTGACGTGGCTCTTTACTTATTATTCCAATCCCACTTGATTTGAGAATTGCACCAGAAAATAGAGAAGTACATTGAAGCTCTATAAATGTTGATTTGACATCATTATTTAAAAGAAAACTATGATCATATAAAATAATATTTATCAAAATGAACTCGAAGAAATGAAACCAAGAGGGTTTTTTTGTTGCTGTTTTTTCAATAAAATAAATAAAGAAACTAAAAGAACATTTACCTTGAGCTTCATTTTCTCCCATATCCGTCTCAGAATCGCTGTCTTCGTGACTCCGCAAAGCAGCCATTTTTCTTTCATTCACCTTTTTCTACAACATAAAAGATAATTTTCAGCCTCCCTCTATCCATAAGAGAAACAGCTTCCAAACGGAAGGTTTCCATCCAGGCTCACCTGGGACAGCAGCTCGCTGCTCCACTGTCTGACCCCCTTGGGGACGCTGGTGATGCACTCCACAGCCTTGTTCAGTGTCTGCTGTATGTCCTCCAGGGTGGGGACAATGGACACACTGGGGATGGCCAGGGTGATGCTGGCCCGGAAAATGGGGAGATGATTCGGCTTCATCTTGCATGCACTATGACTGTCTGAGTTAATATGAAACCAGAGAGAGTTCAGCTTTGTAACTCAAAATGAAATTACTGCATTTCTAACCAAAATATATGTAAATCAAGTATCTAGTGCAACACATAATAGGTATGTAATCAGGTAAATATTTATTGAACATTATCATAATATTACTGAGTGAATGAATGAATGAAAACAATTAAAGGCTCTAGTTTTACTCAACATAACACCAGTTCAGTGAAGATCATGTCATGTTCTGGTGACAGTTTGTTGGTATACACTCTAGAAAGGAACCCTACAATGTAACTCACCAAATATAGCAGCAGGGCTTTTGAATCTGGAGATAGATATATAAGTATATAATATAGATACATACACACAAATGTGTGAATATACCAATATGCCAACATCATTGGAAATAACTTTATATAGTTAAAAATGCCAATAATATATAAAGTTAGGAAGCACCTGTGATTTGATGCTTAGCATGAAATTTGGTAAGTTGTATTAATTCCCCTGTGTCTATGAAAAGAACCATCTTCTATTCTCAAGTAAAATGAACATTTAAAACCTTGAGATAATGTTTTTCTCTCATATTTGGAATCTATATCTAAAAGATATACAAATACATAGATAAATACATACATATTTGCACACAGAATACGATTGTAATTATGGGACTCTGTGAAGAGGAGAAAGGGAGAAAGGAAAAGAGAATGATGGCGGTGTGTAATATCCAATTACATCTTACGTATGAAGGTGGTGTAAGGAAACACTGAATGCTGTTGAATAAGGGGTGCTACAGGGGCATGGGGGAAAGGGAGGTAACAGAGGAGGCTAATCACTTAAATATGTGCACTGTGAAATACTATGGCAAAATTGTTTTGTACAATTAATATACACTGAAAAAAAAACTGAGTCACAGGAACGTGAAATAGGTTCTTTTGAGGATAGGAACGGGCAGTGCTGAGGAGGGCCATCAAGGAGGAGGAGTCTGGTCAGACTACTTTGCACACACATATAAGAACAAAAGAGTGAACCCTGCTGACAGTGTTTCCAAAAGGGAAAAAAAGGATGCTGATAGAGAGGGTGGATTGGATCAGGGAATCTTGTATGCAAGTACACAGTACAGATCCTCTTACAATTAATATGTGCCCATTTAAAAACTCATGCCACCAAGCAGAATGTCCTTCCAAAATTCTTAGGTTTGTTTATCTATAAAGATACTTCCTTAAATGACAGTATTCAAAATAACTAAGACTTCCTATCCTCTTAGTTTTCAGTTTTAATTAGTTTTTTTTTTTACTATTTTTTAATGTAAATTTTAACTTCAATATGTGCCTATATTTCATGAGCTTTGAAGCATACTTGGGAAGTGTCACAATTATTTCTGCACCCTGCTGGAAAGCATGGAACGTTAGGACTGAAGAAGACAGCTGAAATATCACCCAAATAGCACAGTAGATGCTACTTTGAAAAATGTATTCAAACGTGTTTTTCTTTCATGAGATTGTTTCTAACACATTTATAAGATTATTTATTTGTTGCTTTATTATGTCCCTTCCCCACGGTATAACCCCTGCTTTCACTGTATTTGATGTTGGTATAATTTGTGGAGGGGAAGGGGAAAAACAAATCGTTTAAATAGGGATATAGGTGGACCCATTGCAACAATGAGAAGTACAAGTCATTATGTATAAAATGAACTTTACAACTTTGGTGGGGGGGGAGTTTTGGGGGGGAAAGGGAGGACGGATGGGAAGGGATAGGAAGGGGAAAGAAAGGAGGAAGCTACAATGCTTGATAAGAAATGTACTCATTATCTTGCCCATGTAATTGTAACCCCTCTGTACAGTATTTTCACAATAAAAATTTTAAAAAAAGAAAAATGTGACAGTGATATGACTGTCACCACTTAATGGGACAGGTTACTAACTTAGTAATCGGGCAATGACACAATCTTCTCTACTTCTTTTTGGTGGTACTGGAGTTTGAACTCAGGACCTCAGTAGGCAGGCATTCTACCACATGAGTCACTCCCTCCCCAAGTTGTGTAACTTTTTTTTTGGTCAGTCGTGGGTCTTGAACTCTGGGCCTAGGCCCTGTCCCTGAACTCTTCAGTTCAAGGCAAGCACTCTACCACTTGAGCCATAGTACCACACTGATTTTCAGGTGGTTAATTGGAGATAAGCATCTCATGGATTTTCCTGCCCAAGCTAGCTTTGAACCACAATCTGCAGACCTCAGTCTCCAGAGTCACTAGGATTATAGGTGTGAGCCACCAGAGCCCAGCTGTGTTTCTTCTTTTTAAAGCATTTTTATGAATTAAGGTAATTCGTTTTAGACATTTCTATCTCACTACAGAAGATTAAAAATGATGTAGAGTTTGTATTGTGTGTGTGTGTGTGTGTGTGTGTGTGTGTGTTTGCACGATTTTACTGAGGATTAAAGCCAGGGAATCTTGCATGCTACACAAACACTCTTACCAACTGAACCATGGGTTCAGCCTTTTTGTTTCTATTGTTATTCTATTTTTTAAGGGGGGGGGGGGGGGATTTGGGAGAGCTTTGTTGTTATTTTGTAAGATATAATCTCCTTAAGTTGCTCCAGACTGGTCTCAACCTCACAATCTTCCTACCTCTGCCTCAACTGTAAACATGTTAACTAAACCTTGCCATATTCGTTTTCTGGGTTTTAATGTGAGCAATGAGAGCATCCACTGTATGGAATTGTGGTGACTAAAGTGCATGTTTAAACTTAACAAGGAGGCAATAGTAGATTTTTAATTATGAAAATTTAACAGGAGTGGGTACACACACACACACACACACACACACACACACACACACACACACACACACACTACACCTAATCAGTCCTTACCCCTGAAGTGAACTGAGTGGGACGCTTGAACGCGCTTGCGAATAGCCTCTAGCGTATTCCTCGTAACTTTCAGAAGTGCATCCATGTTTTGATGGTTGAAATGAGAGAGCAGCTCACAGGCTTCTTCCTCTAACACCTCAGTTTGTTTCTTCTTTCTTGTGACTGTTGCTAAAGACAAGGAGCCAGTCCCAGCATTCAGGCAGGAGGCCAAGGCATCAGAATTTCCGTCTTCTCTTTTCACTGTTAGTAGGTGAGAGACATAGACAGGGAATAGAGAGAAAAATAGAGAAATAGATACAGAAATAGAGAGATAGATAGAGATAGATACAGAAATAGAGAGAAAGATAGATTTGTGTCATGATAAAGAAAAATAAGATAAACTATAGATGAGTTTAATGTCACGCTTCTTAGAAAGTGAAGCCATTAAAGAAAGAAAAGGAAGTCTGAACACCAGATGGATTGATGGAGGCCTCTCCTCAATAGGAAAAAAATAACCAAGGCAAGACATAGAAGCTATCAGTTAAAAGCTACACTGAGCCCCAGGAGCCTGGGGCTTAGAACTTTGTCTCCTGTTAACATTCCTCACACCTTGAAAGAATAAGTTCTCTGCTACTTCTCAGTATTCTCACCTGTCAATCCTAATCTACATATACTTCACAGAAAACTTCAATCCAAAATCCATCTTACTTACAGATAAGGTAAATAAAACATCAACACCTACACAAACCAAACAGAGAGCCAAATATGAAAGAGGGACAATGTACAGGACATGAATGCAGATTCTAACACCAAAAAAAGGAAATAACCATTTAGCTTCATTACATAAACTCATAATCATAATTTCAGATTCATACATATCATTATAAAATTGGCCAGTGTTGCCGGCCACCAGTGGCTTACATCTGCAATCCTAGCTACTCTCAGGAGGCTGACAACTGAGGATCTCAGTTCAAAGCCAGCCAGGGGAGGAAAATCCGTGAGACTCTTCTCTCCAATTAACCACCAGAAAACTGGAAGTCGTGCTGTGGCTCAAATGGTAGAGCACTAGCCTCGAGCTGAAGAGCTGAGGGACAGTACCCAGGCCCAGAGTTCAAGCCCCATGACCAACAACAACAACAAAAAATAATAGCCAGTGTTTATAGAGGTGTAAAAGTGATTACTATTAGAAAATTACATTTTATATTTTTAGTAAATGCCCTAGAAAAACAAGACTTTTATTACCTTGGGTCTTACCTGAAGTTTCGTTCTTTGAGTCGACCTTACTCAGATTGCATGCTTTATCACTTTCTTCTTTAGCTGGAATCTCCACATCCAGCAACATGTTTATTAGCTCATTGACAGCCTCTTCCACTAAAGAGCTTTTAAAATGCAGTATCTGAGCACCATTTACACAAAGGTCCTAAACAAAAATCAAACAACAACAACCAAGATGAGGCTGGTGTTATATTTGCTTATCTAATCTAGCTCTTCAGAACCCAGAAGGAACCATAGAAATGCCACAGTCAACCTCCAGGTGAGGTTTTAGTGAAGTTGGACCTTTGTGCTACTTCCCCAGGCATCCTGGAAAACAACCATCCAGTAGTCAATGGGAGCCGGGTGAATGGACCAAAACCCCACTTCTCTAGCAAGGAAGGAAAAGCTCAGAAAGCCACCAGCAGCTTCTCTGCCCATGAAGTTTCCTTCCTATATCACAAATCTGCTTAGCCAGCACGTTTTCCTCTCCATCTTTGCTGACAAGCCATACTCATCTCCTAGTTAACTTCTCTTATATTCCTTTCCCCTCTGATGAGATTTTGCATTTCTCAAAAAGGAAATTGAATAACTATAAACTAATATAATTTGGATCACTGTGATGGATTTTGTAGTTGGTTAGACAGGCAAGTATATTCAGAGAGACAAGTGATACATGCAGAATCAGTTATTTACACCCAGAAGGAAAATAAAGCTAAGAAATAATAGACTTTGTTGGTTACTCAGTCTAGAGAATCTCAACATCAAACTCCCACATCAAACATCAGCTTGTGATTCCTCATGCCACAGAGTCAAGGTGATCCCCTGACCACTTTCACACACAGGTGTTGGCAATAAAGATAACAAGAATTCATGACCCAAACTCAACCAAGGTTCTAATGCTACCATAGTCCTGAGACACTTTCCTCTACTTAGCTCTGCAATAACTGTGACATCCAGTCTTTGGCCATCCTCTCCCAACACGCAATGGATAGCCTTGATTTCTACAGCAGAAAGCAAATGGAACCATGATGTGTAGTCTTCATCCGACCCACCAGCCCTGTACCTTTTCCCAGAAGAGAAATCAGCCTCTATCATGAACATTTCTCCTTTCTGTTCCAGTGAGTGTTGCTCCTGCCACTCAAACACACATGCACATCTGAAGTTCTGACTCACAGCCTCTCCTGCTTTCTCCAGACTTCATGACTTCCAGCCCCCTGTTTTCCTCTCCACTTGATTTTGTCTGGGCATAAACTTCAAATCAACACCTTCTTCCAGATAACAAATCAAAACACTTCTGGACCTTTCCATTCCTCTATCTGGAATGCTCTTCCCCAAAGGTATCACATGGAAGCCAGGCACCAGTGGCTGATGACTAATCTTAGCTACTCATCAGGTTTATATATGAGAATCACAGTTGGAAGCCAGCCTAAGCAGAAGTGTCTGTGAGAATTTATCTTCAATTAATCACAATTAAAGGAAAGTGGAGCAGTGGCTCAAGTGCTCAAGTGGTAGAGAGTTAAGCAAAGCTTAGGGACAGTGCCCAAACCCAGAGTTCAAGCCCTAAGACCAGACCTCCCCCCCCCCCAAAAAAAAGAGAGTCACATGGCTTATTCTCTCACTTCCTCTAGTCAAATGGAGTCACAGAAGTCATCCTTGACCACCATCATAAAATCACAATGCCATATCAGGTAGTTTGTGTCTCTATTACCCTCTTAATTTTTTCTCCATTAACGTATCACTACCTGACATGTTTACCCGTTGGCTTTTTTGCTTGTTCTGAGGGTAACTAGAGCTTTATTTGTTTATGGGCACTGGGGTCAGCATAGATGCTCCAGCAAAAATTGCACAACCGATAAATAAATTCTGAAATTTTAAGAGGAAGCAGTCACTCATAGTGGTAATCAAAAGTGCAGATGAATCATTCTCAACTGAAGATGGCTGAAAGAAAACAGGAACAACCTAAGCCTTCTCCCAAGAAGCAGAGTTTTAGGGTCCGATTAGGCATTCCACATCCATGAGATAAGCTATAATTATATAGAGATAGACACCAAAAAAGAAAATTATAAACTGCTTGCTTAAGAAGAAACCAGCGAGGAGTTTCTTGGTGGGGCAGCCACGTGGTGGCCCAGCCCCAGGCTACACACATAGTTTTAGTGGAGAGCTAAGACAGGCCTTTAAAACCTAGCTATTTCCCAGTTGTACTGAGAGTAGACATCTAGGTAACAACCATATCACTATCTCAAGAAGGTTTCAGAATCCAATTATGCCCCAGTCCCCTGCAATTAAGTAGTACATATCCAACCTCCAAACATCAGAGACCCCTTCTACCTGTGAAATAAGGAGCTCCATCCCCTGGTGCAGACCAGATCTTGGCTACAAGATACATTGCAGATCTCAGCAACTAACACAAGAGACTCCACTAAGATACTGCATATCAGACATCAGGAGACACAAGGAGCCTCCAAACAAATTGGAGAATTTGGTTTGCTTGTTTTGGTTCTTGTTTTGTTTTATTTCCTTGTGTCTGGCTTTTGGTATTTATTGTTTTGTTTAGTCTTAGATATACCATCTACAGTTATTCGTGTTGTGTGCATAGTTCATTCCGGCTATATTCAACTTTTTATTGTTTTATTTTTACTTTTATTTTAAAGTTTTTAGCTTTTCCCTTCTTCTCCTTTCTTTTTTGTATTCTCATATTCTTTTTTTCCTTCCTTTATTGCTTATTTTTCTTTCTATTTTCATTTTATTTTTATTCTTGTTCCTTTTTCTGGTCTTTCTTTTTGTTCTTGTCCTTATTCCTTTGATCTCTTGTTGTTTGTCTATTTGTTTGATTACATTTGTTTCCATTTGATTCTGTCTAGTTCACTCATCCTGTTATCTCATTGGTTTTGTTTGGTTTATCCTGATGCTTACAACAGATTTTCTCACTGGCTACAAATACATATAACCTCCTTTTTTGAACCATAATAACCCTTCTTAAACAAAAGTGAAAGCATATTTCCATAGCGGAATACATATCTATGATTTAAAACCTCTGATTTAAAATTGATGCAATTGTTGGGCTGTGTTTGTTTTTGACTTTATATTATGTCCTACTGTGATTTCAGATTTGAGTGCATCTTTATTCCAAATAGGCCAAACAAACAACCATAGAAACACAAGAAAGCTCAACTCCAACAGAAAATAACCAGGCAATACAACAGATAATAAAGAACCAAGATGATATTTTTCAAAATGTTTTAAAAAACACTGCTGATAAATGTTTAGTGAAAAGATAGAAAGCCTTCACAAGTCAATTTGTGAGTGTGATGAGACTAACCATTTTTTTTATAATCCGTTTTCTTTTTTTATTATTATGAAAATACTGTACAGAGGGGTTACAATTACATGGGCAAGATAATGAGTACATTTCTTATCAAGCATTGTAGCTTCCTCCTTTGTTTCCCCTTCCCATCCCTTCCCATCCTCCCCCCAACCCCCAACCGATCCCCCTCCCCCTCATCCCACCAAAGTTGTAAAGTTCGTTTCGACATAACAACTTGTACATCTCAATGTTGCAATGGGTCCACCTGTATCCTTATTTAAACGCTTTGTTTTTTCCCTTCCCCTCCACAAATTATATCGACATCAAATACAGTGAAAACAGGGGGTTATACCGTGGTGGAGGGACATACAAAGCAACAAAGAAATAATCTTATAAATGTGTTAGAAATAATCGCATGAAAGAAAAAAACATTTGAATACATATCTTAGGGTTCATTTCCCTAATATCAACTTATCTGACCTTTTCTGTTTGACTAAGACATATACTAGTTATTGCAAATAAGGGAAACCATGGGACCGAAGTTTTGGGCCTGGATTTTTTCCAAGCCTTTCCATTTCCTAACAAATGGGGCAATGTCATTCTTTCTGATGCAGGCATAGAATTCCATTGTGTGTATATACCACATTTTCTTGATCCATTCATCTACTGAGGGGATCTGGGTTGGTTCCATATCTTAGCTATGGTAAATAAGACTGCAATAAACACATCGTGCTGGTAGCTTTAGTGTGGCCTTGTTTGTGATCATTTGGGTAAATGCCCAAAAGTGGGGTTGCTGGATCATAGGGGAGCTCTATGTGGGGTCCTTTGAGGAACTTCCATACTGCTTTCCAAAGTGGTTGAACAAGTTTACACTCCCACCAATAATGCAGTAAGGTTCCCTTCTGTCCACATCCCCTCCAGCATCTGTTGTTATTAGAGTTCTTGATTATAGCCATTCTAACTGGGATGAGGTGGTATCTCAATGTTGTTTTGATTTGCATTTCTTTTATGGCTAGGGAGGTTGAGCATTTCTTCATGTGTCTATTGGCCATCCTTCTTTCTTCTTCAGAGAAGTTTCTCTTTAAGTCTTTAGCCCACTTATTTATTGGGCAGTTGTTTCTTTGAAGATTTGTTGTTGGGGGACTTAATTTTTTGAGTTCCAGGTATATTTTAGATATGAGACCCTTGTCTGTTGTATAGCTAGTGAAGATCTTCTCCCAATCCGTGGGCTTTCTATTGATCTTGCTAGCTATGTCCTTTGCCATACAGAAACTCTGCAATTTCATGCAATCCCATTTGTCCAACCTTTCTTTGATTTCTTGTTTTTCTGGGTATCTATTAAGAAAATTTCAGCCTGT